TTTTGACTCCGTCAAGGCGAGACAAAAATGGGGCCCAATATCCAAAATAGTAATACAAGGTTAGAACCCCCAAAAACTAAAGACTTAATTTAATCCCATTGAAACTGGTTAAAAGATTTGTATTTATTTTCAATTGAAGATTTCATGCTATTGCGCAATACTGTGCTGTTGCACAATACTTAGTTAATCTGTTATATATAATAGTTTACACACCCTGTTTGATGTGTATCTCCTGCCAAATCAGTATTTGTTGCTTTTATATATAAATCAGAAATAATCAATGTAAAAATGGAAAATTTTTGGGAAAAAATATAACAAAAAATTATGAAAAAAAAAATTTCCCCCAAAAAAAAATTTGAAAAAAAATCCCCCCTCCCCCCCACCCAAATTTTTTTGCCCCTAATTTTTAAACATTTAGGGCAATGACCCCCAAACTCAATCCCAGCCTTCCCTTTGTGGTATGGAACCTTGTAGTACAATTTCAGAGAGAACCATACACTTAAACACAAGTTATTGTCTGGAAACTAGAAAAATGCTTGTATTTGGCCCCTTTTTTCCCCTAATTCCTGAACCGTTGGGGCAATTACCCCCTAACTCAATCCCAGCCTTCCCTTTGTGATATGGAACCTTTGGTACAATTTCAGAGAGATCAATACACTTACACACAAGTTATTGTCTGGAAACTACAAAAATGCTTCTTTTTGGCCCCTAATTCCTGAACTGTAGGTACCATAACCCCCAAAATCAATCCCAAGCTTCCTTTTGTGGTATTTAACCTTCTAGTAAAATTTCATAGAGTTCCATTTACTTAAACTAAAGTTATTGTCCGGAAACCAAATGTGTCTTCAGACAACGACGACATGATAGCACTATACGAACGCAAATTTTTTGCAGTCGTATAAAAAAAAGATGTGGTATGATTTCCAATGAGACAACTATCCACCAAAGTTTAAATGAAGTGGATGTAAGCAATTATAGGCAACCTTATGGCCTTCAACAATGAGAACTAGACCTGTCAGCATTGCAGGGCTAATACCCCCCATACATGCATTTTAGATGCTTCTGTGAAATTCAGTATTGAGGAAATGACATGGCGAGATTTTTAGTTTTCAGCTATTCATTTTATGAAGTCTTTGCCTCTGTGTTAGATTGACACATGGTTACTGTTAGGTCGAACTGAAAGAATTATACTGACCCAGTAACAAAGTCTGAGGTTTGTATACCATTAATTTAGAAATTAAAGCCAAGGTCAGAATGATGCTTCTGCATACAATACAAAGTTTGGTCAATCATAATTTTACAATACAAAAGTTATGCACCAAACACTAATCAGACAATGTTTTACAATCAGGGTTCAAAGGTCAAATTCAAGGTCAGAGTGACCTGACTTTGATGTTTAACATCCCCATCCCGTGATGTGTAAGCAAACCAAGTTTGGTTAACCTAATTTTTAAAGTACAAAAGTTATGAGGTGAACATGAATTGGATAAAGTTCTACTATCAGTGGTCAAAGGTCAAAGTCAAGGTCAGAGTGACCTAACTTTAGTATGTGACACATCCCAAGTCCATGATGCACCTAAGTTTTATGGTTCAAAAGTTACGCACCGTGACACAAATTGGACAAGGTTATACTTTCAGAGGTCAAAGGTCAATCAAGGTAAGAGTGACCTGACTTTGGCATATGACACATCCCCAGCTCATGATGCAACTGCATACCAAGTTTGGTAACCAAAGTTTTACAGAACAAAAGTTATGTACTGGATAAGAAGCGGGACAGATGGACAGACAATCATGGAGATTCCTATATACCCCCAAAAAACAATGCTGTATATTTGGCTATAAAATCCATGACAAACATGAACCAACTACAGCCACTGAACTACAGGGTCCTGACTTGGAACAGGCACATACAGAATGTGTGTTTAAAAACAAAGACATGTGGTGTTATGTAGTTACAAATGTATTGCACAAATAAAACATCATATATATTTTTATGTTTATCTTTATTGAAGTAAAACATAACAAAGCTAGTTATAACAAAAAATTCAATAGATATCTGTAGAAAAGACAAGTATTCATAAATGAGTTGCCCCCTTTTTGTGACATATAATACTTGAGCAGTACATGGATTTCAACATTCATACATTAAAAATACAGAGACACACCTGAATCATCACTGAAGTAATAGCTCTTTCTTACAAGCAATTTCTATGACTTAAAAAGTATTTTTTTATTCATAAAAGATATACTAAAAACTTCATGGGTCTTTTGCACACAAATACATATAATTTGCACAAGACCTTGAAAAATAGTTGTTGTTCACTGGTTCAACTGTCCTTGATTGAATGACTTATTGATGTTGACTTATCAGGCTTGTAGTTCATAACATTTGCTATATCCCCTATGGTGCAATACAAAAATTACCATAATCCTACCACTGTGAAGTATTTTTTTTTCCAAAATAATTAAACATAAACTGATAAACCCTCTACTCCAGCAGTCATGTATATTAGCCAAACTCTCCAAAATAACAACTCCGTTAAAACCTCATGATTAGCTATTAGCCCAATTTTTTTTGCTAAGGTGGTTCTTGATAAGGAGATCTAGTTTTCAACTATTTGGAAGTACCTTTTTGTTTGTGATATCCTTATTTTTTTTTTTTGATGTTTCATGCCACTTTCAGCAATCTTGGCTATACCATGGCAGACAGTTTTTATTTTATGATAGAGAAAGTTTGAAGTATCTGGAGAGAACCACCCTCCTTTGGAAAGGAATACTGGCAATCCTTTTCCAATAATATCAGAGTAAAACACAGCTTGTAAGAACAGGGTTAAAACTCACAACTCGCAGAGTTGACAGGCTATAACTAGTGATCATTGTGGATGAGCTGCTTAGACCTCTCAACCACTGAGGTCCCATATTTTGTTTATTGTCAGAACAGAAGTATTTAAACTTAGTACAACTTGCCATAAATCATGGTAGTATTATATGTAGCAATTCATGATAATAAGTTTCAACAAGTTATGAATGCCAAGTAATAACCATGATAGCTGACTTGGCCATAGTACAGAATAATTAATAGTTAACCTGGCCATATTTCAGAATAAGTAAGAACATTACAATGTACAAATAATTGTGTTATATTTATCATTTACATATGCCATCTTGTTTTTATCTTGTGGTAAGCTCCATAAAAAATACTCAATAGACCATGAAAAACAAGAAACTGACACAATCATAATATCATTTGTACACAAACACATCATCAATTTATAATTGACATCATCAAAACAACACTAATTCAGGTATCTATTTGTACCTTTTCCTATTAGAATAAAGACAATTACTGGTATTACAGCAGTGTTCTCCCCAGATATTTTGGATAGCATCACATTTGGCGTAAAAAAAAAAACTGTATTTTTTTCAATGTCATTTGTCGCGTCGCGGTGATGCTCTATTTCCTTTATGGTATATATGTTTATATTGTTCAATTCATAACTGAGAATACAATTAAAATATAACCATGATAACAGTTGTTTCAGTTTATGTTTTCTATATTCATTTATAGTTACTGTACAGAATTATTGTTTTCCTCTTGGGCCATATAACAATATATGTGTGGTTCTAGCAGAGACATATAATACAATATATGTCTCTGGTTCTAGTTACCCTACCTACCCAACTAAATGAATGAGTGAATGGTTTATTATAGTGCAACCTTTATATATATACAATACTAAATATCAAGTAAAAAAAGAGAAAGTATCATATAGCAATAAAATTTCAATTAAAAAAAAATTTTCATGTCTAAAAATTCATTGTTTCATGGTACTTAATGAATTAGTCCCAGTTGTTTCTTTATATCAAGGTGATAGATATTTTTAACAAAGTTATCTAACAAATAGTCTGTTAATGCATAGTTTTCTCTTTTTGGTATATTTTTTTCTGTCTGCTGTGCCATTTGTGCATCTGTAGTTATTATCGTAAAAATGCGGATTTTTGTCATATCTGGTCCGGTTCCGATCGGTAGTTTACACAAAAGTAGTCAATGGCGGCCGAAAAAAAATTAACGAAAATAAACAATGTTTGACAAGAGATTGGGAACGAATGTGACGCTTTTGATGTATTAAATGGATGAAACATAAACTTAAGCCAACTTATTTAGCCCAAAACCAATATGTTCGCTCTCGATTAACAAGTAGTACTGGCGGAAGAGAAAGAAAGTAATTTTATGAAAGTTGTAAAAATAAACGACCAAACCTCATTTTTAAAGAGAAAAATCGTTTGTATCTTTGAATTTCCGTAATGCAAAACGTAGATTTCGAATTGTTTTATGATTACATTTTTTCCATGTCTTAATTTGCGATTGCAGACAGACCACGTGGTATTAATCATGTCACAAGTGTCAGCTTGGGGTATTCGTATCCAAACAGTTATCACCCAAAGGGCAATTAACACCTATTTAATCACTCTTAAATGCCTCTATTGTCCGATTTGAAGGGATTACACTTAAAGGTGATATAATTTTTATGATCATATGTGGTAATTAGATGAAAGTTCAAAATTTAGGACATGGATTTACGATATAGAAACAAGAAAAATAGCATCCTCAAAATAATTATAGCGTCGCGGAAATTATTATAGCATCACGGGAAAAAATATAGCGTCGCGGTACCGCGAAGCTAAAACGGCCTGGGGAGAACACTGATTACAGCCCTTGATTATTTTCAACAATGCCTTGCTACTCTACTAGACTCCCTCTGGGTAAAATTTTGACCAAATAAGGCAAACCTATAGTAAAATATTCCAATATATCACTGGCCATAAAAAACCAAACAGATTGCTTCCGCAAATATTCAAATGCAATTATAGACGCTATATGAAGGTAGATATGTACCAAAATAAAACTTGTCACATTATGTCAAAAATGATACAGAAAATACACATACATTATCAATCAGTCTATGAAAATCAATAAAAGTCTTGTCTGATCCTTGTAATGATGGATACAAAAAAAATGACGAGGCTTATTAACAATGTTTAAACTCAATAAATGCAAATCTTAGACAAGTTAATTGTTTAGAATATATATATATTGCAAAAGATCAATTTTTATAGTTTTAAGTAAAAGCATGTTTTCAGGGTACTTCTAACATAATTACAAATAATACAGAAATTTGAGCAGAGAAAAAGTATTTGATTTAAAGAGTAATTTGATTTATTATTACATGCTTTGAGCAGGACACTACAGTGCAATTTCAACAAAAGTTAGTTCTGATGCATATGTTTACAGAAAAATCAAGCAAAAAAAAAAACTTTGTTACATTGAATTAATTCAACTTAACTGTCATAAAAGTGAAAAAAGTCACAAATACATATATTAATAGCTTCAAAATAATTCAGATAAAATTATAGATTAGCGTTGGTCATCTCAACGAGATTTGATTTTCTCACTTGAGCCGTTACGGCGAAAGTGAGGAAAGCAATCAAGTTGAGATGACCAATGATAATCTGTTTCATCGCTGTTTTACCTATGACGACGTTGTTAATTTCATTGATAACGGCATGTGCGCCCTTAGTTTCTAGCGATTATTTTTCATATCACTCTACTGTGCTGAGAAAGGAAATTATCAGTCAGTAAGATCAAAGGAAAATTTCGTAAAATAGCAATAATAAAGTATATAACTGGTTAAAGAATTTAAATGACTTTACTGTGAATTGATTACAAGTGTTTCTCTCCACCTAATGCAATTTATTCAAAATTCAAACTCAACTGCAATCTGTTTCTTCAATTTGGCATTACCCTGTCTTAATAGGATATAATATAATAGATTTTATACAAATGAAATAAAATACTTGAATATAACAGCAGTATACCATATTTACACAATACATCTATCATTACACAAAAGTTAGAGAAAGGTAGTCGAGGATCAAGAAACAAAAAAATAATTTCAAAATTTCTATTTCTTAGATATAAAATTGAAAACTGAAATTATATGAAGAGTATATATTGCATCCTATATATAGAACATATTACTTTCCTGTATATCAATTGGTGAAGGTTTGGGAATTTATTAGTCAGAATATTATATTATTCAAAAGTTAACTTACAGTTTTCAGATGTACTGAGGGTAAATCACATGAACATTATAGATTGAAATATCCCACTAATGTTTAAATGGCTGTATGTAAAATGTAAATTGAACTGACCAAATACAAAAAAATAGTTAATAATTCTACAAGTTTGTGTTATAATATTCATTTTCACATTTTAGAAATTCCTGGCATACATATACAAATTCATATCAAAAGTTTCATATGAACCTATTTGATTTTAACATGATTAATTAAAATAAACTAGGATACAACTTGTTGCACAGTAAAGTATAATAAAGACTAGACCACTATATGAAGTAAACTCCATGAAAGTTCTCTGTAGCACAAGTTGAATGAATTTAAAGTACATTTGTCTGATTAAATCACATTTAGACAGCTGAAAAAATAATAAAAGATAACCCAAAAAAAATCATCAGCTGTACTGCTTGTGTCTCTGGTTTTCTCTATTAATCATAGAATAACTTGGCTAAATGATATCTGATGAAAAATGCAATTCCACTACATAAGACCTGCAAGTATAAAATATGAACATTATTTACAAGAAAGGCTATTGTGATGGTTGATTTTTTTGGTTATTGAAGTCTTAATTTTTCTATCTTATTAACTAGTCTATAAAACTTATATATATTTTTATAGATGCCTTCTTTCTTTCCTTATTGGTGTGTTCGGTTCTTGTCTCATTTAAATTTACCCCTCATCAGCTTTTTCTCCTATTAGACATTGGTTTAAAATGCTCTAGAATTTATTTCGAGATTTTTTTATTCAAAAATAAGCAAATGACCAGCAAATTTAAAAGAAGGTTTAAAAAATTTACCTGTATTGCCATAAGTATGATAACTAGAGTTCTCTCATGTAAAGGACCAGTAAACTTCAATATAAGATTTATTAATGTCATATTGTTACACTCTGTGTATTGTCCATCTTCCCCTACATTCTCCTTCACGTCCAACACTCGTAATAATCGAAATATTGTCACACATAATTTTCCGATAATGTTTAAATTACTATATTTGTATTTTGTACAACTCATCTCTACTTTGTCAGTTTTACTGTTATATCTGAAATGTAATACATAATGTAATAATAGTTTTTATATTTTTTCAAATAAAATTATATCAAGCTAATAAAAATCAATTGATATTGTAAAGATCAATGCAAAACTATGTATCTCAGAATAATGGACAACTTTTCAGTTGGTTGCTATGTATTTACGAAAAAAATCGTTTTTATTATCATTTCTTATGAATTTCAATAGCATGTTTTTCCTGGCTTACATTGGAGTGACTATTTTAAAATTTGTTCATGTTTAATGCAACTGGCAGCAACCTTGGCTTTATCAAGGCGGCCAGTTTTGAGTGGTTGAAAAAGATATATATGTAAGCAATTGAGTTAAGGCTTTTTCAACTGATTTTTATAATTTGTTCTTATGTTGTGCTGTTACACCACTGTCCCAGGTTATGGGGAGGGTTGAGCGCTCACAAACATGTTTGACCCCGCCACATTCTTTATGTGCCTGTACCAAGTCAAGAGCCTGTAGTTCAGTGGTTGTCTTTGGTTCATGTCTGTCAAATTTATTTTTTGTTAATTGTTTGTTATATATTTCACTGTTAGTTTTCTTAATTGAATTGTTTCATATTTTTCATGTCGGGGCCTTTTACAGCCGACTATACAGTATGGGTTTTTCACACTGTTGAAGGCTGTACAGTTGCCTATAATTGCTTACATCTACTTTATTTGGACTTTGGTGGATAGTTGTCTCGTTGGCAATCATACCATATATCCTTGTTTTTATATAGTGCCCAGAGAGAACCATGTACCTTTGACAGGAAAACTGACAATCCTTGTCAATTCAGATCACAGGGCCCAAATTCACAACTTAAGTTTTTTTTTTAAATAATGGAAATTCTTAAATGCCTGGAAAGTCATAATGAACTGATTTCTTTAACATTTCAGAGAAAATAAAAATTTAATTTGAAACAGTTTCACAAATATAAATCTGATGAAGATCTTAAAAGGATTGTACTTCATAGGTGCTGGATATATAAATGATATGTTCCACTTGTCATAGCCATAATGCTGTCCTCTTTTATGACATCACTAAATGTAAATTATCATCCCATTTTTAATTGCAATGATCAATAAAAGGAGGGTCACTGGTTGAAAAGTATATGATTCGCCTTAAAGAGCATGTGCCTCAAACCCCGTTTTTGGTGGTGTTCCTTTTACTCTTTAGTTTCTGTGTGTGTTTTGTGGCATTTTGATTGTTTTTTTGTTTGTTTGTTTGTTTGATTTGGCCATGTCTAGTTTTTCTTCAGCTTATGGTTTTGATTGCCCATGTAGTATCTTCTTCCATTATTTTTTTATATTATGTTGAATTTAAACTCACTTCTAAAAATCACATTTATTTCCAAAAAAGTATTTTAACATGTTTATTTTAATTGGTATTTGGTAAATAGACCTACCTTGGTAACCTATGTCGTGGACATGGAACAAATTTAAATATTTGTGGAACTGAATACACAAAGTTGACAACTTGTGGTATAAAAAACAGTAACATAGTTTTACTAAAATGTCCTAGTATAGCTACAACAGCAAATGTCATCCCTGAGAAATAACAGAAAGTATCTCCAACAAACACTCGAGATGGATACCTGCAACAAAATAAAATATTGCAAATAACTCAGTTTAATAGACAATTTTACAAAGGAGAATAGATTTACAGTAGATTTGGACCTTGGTACATGTATAGCCCTCATGAGACTTACAGTAGATTTGGACCTTGGTACATGTATAGCCCTCATGAGACTTACAGTAGATTTGGACCTTGGTACATGTATAGCCCTCATGAGACTTACAGTAGATTTGGACCTTGGTACATGTATAGCCCTCATGAGACTTACAGTAGATTTGGACCTTGGTACATGTATAGCCCTCATGAGACTTACAGTAGATTTGGACCTTGGTACATGTATAGCCCTAATGAGACTTACAGTAGATTTGGACCTTGGTACATGTATAGCCCTAATGAGAATTACAGTAGATTTGGACCTTGGTACATGTATAGCCCTCATGAGACTTACTTTGCTACCTATAATACTAAGGGTTTGTTGTCCGTAGCCTTAATTTGTCACACAAGTCGGACATAATCATTTGCACCAAAATACAATTTATTTAACTATCCTCTTATATGTATATCCAGCCCTTCTCCAATAAATTTAATGATATGACTGAAACATGACTTATACTCTGTTGAAACTGTAATGCATAAATGCTAATAATATAGCAACATAACCTATAATGATGATGTACTATAAAACATTTGAAACACCTAGTTTTACAAGAGTGGACACACTGAAATGTCTCGCCTGTTTTAGTGTTCATAATTGAATTTATGTTGAAAGTAAAAAAAATAAGTTTATATAAGCTTTACATTAAATTAACATTTTAATGATGAATGAACATGAAGTCAAGGTGAGATAAAGTTAAGGCATTGCAGAAACTGGATAAATATTTGTCAATTCCTTGAGATGAACCTGAAAGACCCCTCCACCCCAAAAAAAAAAAAAAAAAAACTAAAATTATCTTCAATCTTTGATCAAAATATTGTAAAAAGTCATATTTTCATATTATCTATTTATCTATTTATGTTGCTATGCTAAAATATTTTTTACTTATCTTATTTCATATGTATCAAAAATCAGTAAATGTGATTCTGTTGTGCAAACAAAATTTCAAAAGTTCTTCAATCTATACATATTCAGCCAATTAATCTTTATGAAGGGACTGGAGTGAACTGTATTCTATGTTAAACATTCATGCATGAGTGACCTTATTTTAACATTTTCACACCTTCCAATGTTTTTGTTAATCACGGTTTAGTAATGATCCCTTAAAAGTTTTTATTATTTATTATCATTATTAATGTAATTTTAAGATTTTTATAAAATAATCTATTTCAATGTAAGTAATCAGCAGTTAAATAATAAAATACATTCCATACACCAAATATAGTTGACCTATTACTTATAGCATCTGAGAAGAAGACCAAACAACAGAAACTTAACATTGACCAATGAACCATGAAAATAAGCTCAAGGTCACATGAAACCTGTCAGACAGACGTGCACACCTTACAATCATTCCATACACCACATATAGTTGACCTATAATTTATAGTATCCGAGAAGAGGACCAAACAAGAGCAACTTAACATTGACCAATGAACAATGAAAATGAGGTCAAGGACAAATGACACCTGCCAGACAGACATGTACACCTTACAATCATTCCATACACCAAATATAGTTGACCTATTGCTTATAGTATTAGAAAAACAGACCAAAACACAAAAACTTAACATTGACCAATGAACCATGAAAATGAGGTCAAGGACAAATGACACCTGCCAGTCAGACATGTACACCTTACAATCATTCCATACACCAAATATAGTTGACCTATTGCTTATAGTATTAGAAAAACAGACCAAAACACAAAAACTTAACATTGACCAATGAACCATGAAAATAGGTCAAGGACAAATGACACCTGCCAGACAGACATGTACACCTTACAATCATTCCATACACCAAATATAGTTGACCAATGGCTTATAGTATTAGACAAGAGTGGACACACTGAAATGTCTCGCCTGTTTTAGTGTTCATAATTGAATTTATGTTGAAAGTAAAAAAAATAAGTTTATATAAGCTTTACATTAAATTAACATTTTAATGATGAATGAACATGAAGTCAAGGTGAGATAAACCCTATCAGACAAACATGTAGGCCGTACAATCATTCCATACACCAAATTTATTTAACATATATTGCCTAAAGTATCTTAGAAACAAACCTCATTGAGGAAACTGAACTTTGACCAATGAACCATAAAATGAGGTCAAGGTAAGATGACACCTGTCAGACAGACATATACACATAACATTCATTCCATACAGAAAATTTAATGAACTTATCACTTATCTGCCAGTTGGAAATGTGAACCTTACGATCATTCTATACACCAAATATAGAAGACCTATTGGTGATAGAATTTGAGATATGGACTTTATCATGAAAACTAAATCTTGTTCACTGATCCATTAAATGATGTCAAGGTCAAATGAAATATGTCTGACAGATATGTGAACCATGCAAGGTACGCACATGCCAAATAAAGTTATCATTTTACTCATAATAATTGAGAAAATCACATTACAAAAATAATTTTTCATCTAGATTTAAGGTTCATCAGAAGGGATTGACAAATATGGCCATTTTTTTTTTATTTCCTCTTGAGTACAGACAAACCTGTGCACAAGGAAAAGTTTTAAGGCATTGCAGAAACTGGATAAATATTTGTCAATTCCTTGAGATGAACCTGAAAGACCCCCCCACCCCAAAAAAAAACAAAAAAAAAACTAAAATTATCTTCAATCTTTGATCAAAATATTGTAAAAAGTCATATTTTCATATTATCTATTTATCTATTTATGTTGCTATGCTAAAATATTTTTTACTTATCTTATTTCATATGTATCAAAAATCAGTAAATGTGATTCTGTTGTGCAAACAAAATTTCAAAAGTTCTTCAATCTGTACATATTCAGCCAATTAATCTTTATGAAGGGACTGGAGTGAACTGTATTCTATGTTAAACATTCATGCATGAGTGACCTTATTTTAACATTTTCACACCTTCCAATGTTTTTGTTAATCACGGTTTAGTAATGATCCCTTAAAAGTTTTTATTATTTATTATCATTATTAATGTAATTTTAAGATTTTTATAAAATAATCTATTTCAATGTAAGTAATCAGCAGTTAAATAATAAAATACATTCCATACACCAAATATAGTTGACCTATTACTTATAGCATCTGAGAAGAAGACCAAACAACAGAAACTTAACATTGACCAATGAACCATGAAAATAAGCTCAAGGGCAGATGAAACCTGTCAGACAGACGTGCACACCTTACAATCATTCCATACACCACACATAGTTGACCTATAACTTATAGTATCTGAGAAGAGGACCAAACAAGAGCAACTTAACATTGACCAATGAACCATGAAAAAGAGGTCAAGGACAAATGACACCTGCCAGACAGACATGTACACCTTACAATCATTCCATACACCAAATATAGTTGACCTATTGCTTATAGTATTAGAAAAACAGACCAAAACACAAAAACTTAACATTGACCAATGAACCATGAAAATAGGTCAAGGACAAATGACACCAAATATAGTTGACCTATTGCTTATAGTATTAGAAAAACAGACCAAAACACAAAAACTTAACATTGACCAATGAACCGTGAAAATGAAAATGAAACCTGCCAGACTGACATGTATCCCTCATATATCCCTCATAATCATTCCATACACCACATATAGCTGACCTACTGCTTGTAGTATCTGAGGAACGGACCCAATCACGTAACTTTAACCTTGATCACTGATCCATGAAATGAGGCTGAGGTCAGGTGAACCCTGTCTGATGGACATGTAGACGTTGCAAGGAACCCATATACCAAATATAGTTATCCTATTACTCATAATGAGTGAGAAATTTACATAACAAAAAAACTAAACTTTTTTTTCAAGCAGTCGCTGAACCATGAAAATAAGGTCAAGGACATTGGACATATGACAGACGGAAAGTTCGTAACATAAGGTATCTGCATACAAAGTATGAAGCATCCAGGTCTTCTACCTTCTGAAATATATAGCTTTATACAAATAGTTTACGCCGCCGTCGCCGCCGCCGGATAGTAATACCTATGTCTCACTTTCTGCGACTTTCGTCGCAGGCGAGACAAAAACTGTATAACTAGGTATGAATAGAGTAATCATAAAAGTTTCACTTTCTTCAACAAATATCACTAACAACACAAATATTGGCAGCATCATTGAGGATGGTGGATAATTGATATCAATATTCAATAATAACCTACCAGTTATGGATTAGCAAAGCTAGACACACTCCTATATATGGCATCATGAAATATAAACTAAATACATGTGCCTCTGTACAACATCCTGCAATGATACAATTGCAAATGTTTGAATAATCATATATAAAGGTAATACAGTAGTGTTTGATATTAAACACAATGATCATTTTGTGGTTTTGTTTCAAACATAATAACACATTGAGTACATTTGACCATGAACCTACAAAAGTTACTTTTTTCAATTCGTTCTGTCAAAACAAACTTTTTCCAAAACAGCATGTCCATTTTGGGTATGGTAAATATTGTCATAATGATTGTTTCAATATTTTTTTTTGTTTTTGTTAAAAATCCAAGTTAATTGTAGAAATTGTCTGGTATTTCAGAGTTATGGGACTTTGATAGCACCTCTTTTGATATTTTGTGCGTCTTACTGAGTGTCTAGTTTTTTTTATGCACACCTATCAAATACAATATTATAACAATTATACAGCTAGTATAATCTACCTTTACTTCAATTTTTGTAACTTTCAGATATGTTGTTTTGAAGTTATTCACCTCTGTTATTGAAAATTAGGTGAAGATGTGCATCATGTTCTCATGGTGCAATTGTTTTTATCTTTTTTTAAGGCAAAATACTAACAATAATATGGCAGATATATTAAGAACAGGATTTAGGAAAATACTTAGACATGTAATAATAGCCTTAATTGTTATAAACTTTTAAAATAAGATTAAAAATACAGATCCTGTGTCCATGCTTTGCTGACAAGGATCTGACAATGTTCTGTTCGACTTTCTGTTGTAAACACCTTTAGAGATCCTCTAGTTTTGTTGTAATAATACACACCTCTAAAAAATTTGAAGACTGAAATTTCATTGGCTGATGTATTAATTACCAGTATAGAAAGTAGAATGGAGCGGTGTCAGATCCTTGTAAACAAAGTGTGGACACAGGATCTGTATTTTCAATCAGATTGATTTTTAACATAATATGCCAAAAGTGCAATGTGATGAAGTAGTAATATGAGGCAGGCATTACCTGAGAAAGGGGACGAAGTCTACATAAATTATTTTTTTTAATTCAAACATATTTTATGTTCTAAATCTGTTAAAAAAGAAACGGAAATACCGTAACGTTTCTGATTTTGGTTCTGTTGTTAGGGATTATAGTTGTGACGTTATTTTAGTTATGACGTCATATTTAATGTAAACAAAGAAACGCTATCATCAGGTAACTTTTTTTCATATCAAAGAATAATTAGAAATGAAATTGTTATTGTGTTCCTTCCTATATTTTACTGGACTGATAAATATATATTTCACCCAAAGTCTCATGACAAACGAGACCGGAAGAAGGAAGTAGATTTCTGCGCAAATGCGGGAATTAAAAAAAGTTAACGATTTTGAGTTCATTAGTACAATGAAAATTTCGGGAAATTTTCCCGATTTTTTTTTTTTTTTTTTTTTATTGATTTTTCTACTGTAATAGGGGAATTCCTCCCCTTATAACCTTACTATACAAATCCTTGGTATAACCATGCAACATTATGTCAAGAATAAACAAGAATGTGTCCAAGTACACGGATACCCCACTCGCACTATCATTTTTTATGTTCAGTGGACCGTGAAATTGGGGTCAAAACTCTAATTTGGCATTAAAATTAGAAAGATCATATCATAGGGAACATGTGTACTAAGTTTCAAGTTGATTGGACTTCAATTTCATCAAAAACTACCTTGACCAAAAACTTTAACCTGAAGTGGGACAGACGGACGAACGAATGAATGGACAAGTAACAGACCGAAAATCATAATGCCACCTACTATATAACAAGAGTGCACACGCTGAAATGTCTCGCCTTCTTTACTAATCATTGATATTATGTTGATTGTCCTAAATATAAAGCTTTATTACAACTGTCACATAAACTTAACATTAACCAAGTTAACTAAACATTGACCAATGAACCATGAAAATGAGGTCAAGGTTAGATGAACCATGCTAGGCAGGCATGTACAGCTAAAAATTCTTCCATACAACAACTATAGTTGACCTATTGCTTATAGTTTAAGAAAAACAGACCAAAACACAAAAACTTAACACTGAGCAATGAACCTTGAAAAATGAGGTCAAGGTCAAATAAAACCTGCGTGACTGCCAAATAAATCATAAAATATTTCCATACACCAAATATAGTTGAACTATTGCATATATAGTATTAGAAAAAAAGACCAAAACTCAAAAAACTTAACTTTGACCACTGAACCATGAAAATGAGGTCAAGGTCAGATGACACCTGCCCGCTAGACATGTACACCTTACAATCATTCCATACACCAAATAAAGTAGACCTATGGCATACAGTATAGGAAAAACAGACCAAAACACAAAAACTTAACTATAACCACTGAACCATGAAAATGAGGTCAAGGTCAGATGACACCTGCCAGTTGGACATGTACACCTTACAGTCCTTCCATACACCGAATATACTAGACCTATTGCTTATAGTATCTGAGATATGGACTTGACCACCAAAACTTAACCTTGTTCACTGATCCATGAAATGAGGTCGAGGTCAAGTGAAAACTGTCTGACGGGCATGAGGACCTTGCAAGGTACGCACATACCAAATATAGTTGAACTATTGCATATAGTATTAGAAAAAAAGACCAAAACTCAAAAACTTAACTTTGACCACTGAACCATGAAAATGAGGTCAAGGTCAGATGACACCTGCCCGCTAAACATGTACACCTTACAATCATTCCATACACCAAATATAGTAGACCTATGGCATACAGTATAAGAAAAACAGACCAAAACACAAAAACTTAACTATAACCACTGAACCATGAAAATGAGGTCAAGGTCAGATGACACCTGCCAGTTGGGCATGTACACCTTACAGTCCTTCCATACACCGAATATACTTGACCTATTGCTTATAGTATCTGAGATATGGACTTGACCACCAAAACTTAACCTTGGTTACTGATCCATGAAATGAGGTCGAGGTCAAGTGAAAACTGTCTGACGGGCATGAGGACCTTGCAAGGTACGCACATACCAAATAGAGTTATCCTATTACTTATAATAAGAGAGAATCTAACATTACAAAAAATCTTAACTTTTTTTTCAAGTAGTCACTGAACCATGAAAATGAGGTCAAGGACATTGGACATGTGACTGACGGAAACTTCGTAACATGAGGCATCCATATACAAAGTATGAAGCATCCAGACCTTCCACCTTCTAAAATATAAAGCTTTTAAGAAGTTAGCTAACGCCGCCGCCGCCGCCGCCGCCGCCGGATCACTATCCCTATGTCGAGCTTTCTGCGACAAAAGTCGCAGGCTCGACAAAAATCATAACCAGAAAATGATAAGGAGAAAACACGTCTAAAACAGATGTTCTTCTGTATTTAAACAACATAAGTCTGTTAGACGTAAGAAACAAAGGATTTGTTGTGGATATACATCAGACAAAAGTCAATTGAAATATCAGGAATGGTTTTATTGTGGCCTTTTAAAGATCTGTTTTTTCACTAAAAATTTTTTATTAACACATAACAGTATGTAATAAGTGTGTGTTCTTTGACATCACAGGAATTGAGGAAAAATTAAACAGAAAGTCCTTAAGCATTCTAAGGTTTAGCTAGCTATAAAACCAGGTTTAATCCACCATTTTCTACATAAGGAAATACCTGTACCAAATCAGGAATATGACAGTTGTATCCATTCGTTTGATGTGTTTGAGCTTTTGATTTTGCAATTTGATAAAGGATTTTCCATTTTCCTTGGAGTTCGGTATTTTTGTTATTTCACTTTTTAATAATTATGCCTGAATGTGACCAAGGAATCAAGACTTCATATTCATTTATTAATGATAACTTAAAAGGAATATTATAGCCGATTTTTACCTAAATAGTTGCAAATAAGCATATAAATGATTTATCACTTAGATAATATCCTGAAGACTATTAATTCTCAGGTGGCCATAAAATTATAAACATGGGACATGTCCCCATAAAAACCATGAAATCTAAGGTACTCGTTGGTCAAATGAACCAATAGTTTAAGATATTCTGTACTGATGTAGCAAAGTTTTCTGTGTACTCAATCAAACAATTCTAAATAAATTAAACATGAGTATTTCCTTCATTTTAATTTTAAGATAACCACATTAGTTTGGTTAACTTATTTGCGACAAACAAATAACCTATGTTGCCAAGGTAACGTTACATTCATTTTATGCAAAGATAAAACAGTCTATGGACAAATTAATCAGTCTTAACCATATGTATTATAGTATAAAATACTATTCTAGCTAAGCCCAAAACCACATAAAAAATAGTATATTCCATCATCTTACTTTTTACTAACTCATTTGTATTATCAACTGTAAAATACAATTAATATATCTACAGAATATAATAATTCATTTTATTTATTAAACTTAACTTTGAACTAATTATAAACAAAAAGTGAAAACAGTAGGAAAGGATTTCTATGATTTTTTAATTTTCAAATACATTGTAACTACATTTGAAAAAAGATGAATAAGGGAAATGATGAAAAAAATAGCAATTCAATTTGGTATAGTAAGACTTTATTCACATTGATAGCCTTTTACAGCATGTACAGATGAATTCTTTTAAAATGGAAAATAGATAAATAAAACTGTCATGAATGTTACCAGACTTGTACAGTTACTACCATCATATATAATATTTTACCTGACAATTCTAAGATGTTAAATATAACAACAGAAACAGCAATAACAAATGATTGTCCAGCTTCCAGGCCATTCACACCAGCCAGAATGTTTATGGCATTTGTACAGAATACAGCTAACATACCCATGTATACATAATACAAGAATCCTGAAAAATATACACAACAAGTATGTAAATTCTTCAGTTTTAAGGGCATACAGTTACAGGGGAGGTAATGACGTTGCCAACGTAAAATGTTATTTTTCGCGACGTCAAACTGCGACATATTGGGAAAAGATTAAATTGAGAATGGAAATGGGGAATGTGTCAAAGAGACAACAACCCGACCATAGAGCAGACAACAGCCGAAGGCCACCAATGGGTCTTCAATGCAGCGAGAAACTCCCGCACCCGGAGGCGTCATTCAGCTGGCCCCTAAACAAATATGTATACTAGTTCAGTGATTATGGACGTCATACTGAACTCCAAATTATACACAAGAAACTAAAATTAAAAATGATACATTTAAGAGAAGTCTGAATCCGATGGCAGAATAGGAAACAAAAGAAAATAAACAAAATGCATTTTTCGACTTATTTTTATCATTCAGACTGATATAACTTGAAAACCAGTTCATGGACCCCTCTTTCTTAAAATGAGATTAGGATTGATTACGTATGAAGATTATTTGCACCAATTTTTATGAAAAAGTCACTGATGAGATTTTTAATAATTAAATAAGTATACAGCAAAAAATTCCGTTTTTTTCCTAAAATCCTGAAACTTTGATAAGAATTAATTATTTTCAAAGAATTGTTATAAAAATTTAGAGCATACTTATGTAAAAGAGATTTTCCAAATGTTTTTATAAAAATCCTATTGTGTTTATCTTTTGAAACAAAAAAGTTAGGTATGTCTATCCAAAGGATAGAAATGTTTGCATTGACTAGGTGAAAAATAGCTTGTATGCAAATTTTCGTAAAAAAATCACTGTTGGATCAAAACCGTTACGTATGCCCTTAAGTTCTTTTCATATCGATGATATATAAATTGACAATACAGTAAAAAACACAGAAATAAATTTGAAAGCTAAAGAACATTTAGTGGTATGGGTTTTGCTTATTGTTGAATACCCTGCATTTACCTATAGCTGCTTAAATCCACATCACTTGAAGTCGTGTGGATAGTTGCCTCATAGGCAATTTTTATTATTTTATCCTCATTTTATCATGTTGTAAAGTTACTTTATTTCAAAGTTTATTTTCAAATATTTGATAATTTCCTAATTAAGATATGCAAAGGAAAGCAATTGTGTCAGGGAAAAAACTTAACGGTTGCCCAGTCGCCCATGGCGACCAGAAATTGACCTGGGCGATCTTTTTATTCAGTTGTGGTAGCCCAGGTGGCGAATTGAAAACAAAGTACTCGACAGACGGAAATCCGCTGTTTACCGTGGCTCCAAGTGCTGGCTACTTCACTGACAAAAATATAAATTCAAACAGAAAAATAAATCTTTTTAAAATGTATCCAGGCAAGTGTGGAGAGTCGTATTGGCGCAAAGTCACGGTCGCGATAAACAAGGATGTAAAATCAGTGTTTACCTTTGACTAAATGTAGTTCACGTTAATTCAGGTCACTGATTGGTCGTCTATTTAAAGTCCGGAAAGTATCGTATGTTTGCAAGGATAACAAGAGAGACGTTCCGATGGTCATTTACAATATGAAGCGATCAAATACCCTGTTCGGTTTTGGCTTCAAGAAAGCGAAGAAATTCAGAGAAGATGACAATAGCATGTTATGAAATAATATCAGTCAAATAAAAGAACGTATAATATATAATGTTGTTAAGAATGTGGAAAACAGTACCTTTTGTAGTTCCCTTTTCAAAGCCCACGTGGTGTCCAGAGAATGAAGGTCAAAAACGAAAGTAGAATATTGTCGACCACAAATAAATAACATTAGTATAAAATGATTTTAGTTTCCTACTTACTGAACAGTTTACAAAAAAGAGAAAATCAGAGGAGATATCAATTTAATGACAATGCTTTTGAAGTACGTGTACAAGTCTTTTGAGAAAAAAGGTGGGTCATTTGTTTACAAATGTACGTAGTTACGCAAAATAAATCGATCAAGATATTTAATAAATTAGGTTATTAAAGAAATAAAATGAAAAATTTCATCGATCATCTACATGTATTTTTAAAAGGACAGAGAATTCTTTAGTTGTCTTAAAAAGATATTTAAAAAAAAACTGGTACACAGGGCATGAAGATTCCCATTTTGTAAATGATTTTTTTTCTATTAAATTTGATTGAAGTCAACAACAAAAATAAGACAAAATTTACATTTTCCCAAGCATCTAAATCACCTCCAGGTATGCTCAGAATGCAGGATTTTGAGTCTAAAATTTCAAAATTTTCTTGGGGGGGGGGGCATGCCCCAAAACCCCCCTAGCAAGTTCAGCTCGCTTCGCTGGCTTCACCGGTGATACTCATAGTGAAATAAAGTGGGTTACTAACTTTTTGTCTGGGCTAACTAATTTTCAAGTCTAGTAGCCCAGCTGGCTACTGGCCTTACAAAGTTAAGTTTCACCCCTGTGTGTTAACCCATTTTTGTGTTAATCAGCCTCTACCCTACTTTAATAATATAATGTTCTTATTCCAGCCTCAAAAGTCAAAGCTTTGGTACAATTAAAAGTAAATAGATATTTTCCTATGGATCAGCCCTTACTCAAATCAACATAATGTCCCAAGTACAGTCTGAGAGATTTTGGTACAATTAATTGTAAATAGATATTTTTATGGATCAGCCCTTACTCAAATCAACATCATGTCCCAAGTACAGTCTGAAAGGTTTTGGTACAACTATAGTAGTAGATCCAACGTTGACCAAGTAAACCATCAATAAAGGGAGAGAAGCAATGGTTGGTAACATGACTTTATGTCTCCACTTCAGGTTTAATACATCATCAGCAAAACCCAGGAATACCATACAGCATATGGATAATAGTGCTGCAATATATTCTATATACTGAAACAAGAAATTTACATGATTTACATTTGGTATATACATGTAGATAACAGTGAAGTTACAGTGCTGCAATATATTCTATATACTGAAACAAGAAATTTACATGATTTACATTTGGTATATACATGTAGATAACAGTGAACTTACAGTGCTGCAATATATTCTATATACTGAAACAAGAAATTTACATGATTTACATTTGGTATATACATGTAGATAACAGTGAAGTTACAGTGCTGCAATATATTCTATATACTGAAACAAGAAATTTACATGATTTACATTTGGTATATACATGTAGATAACAGTGAAGTTATAGTGCTGAAATATATTCTTTATACTGAAATAAAAAAAAATACATGATTCACATATAACATATTAAAAAGTAAATGTACAATGTTGGGAATTAAAAACTAATTCTCTTTTTTTTATCAGTAAATATATATAAATACATTCAATACATAAATCTTTTTAACTAAAAGTGATTTTTTTCTCTTGACCCCAGTTGTCTTAGAATCCTAACAGTTCTTCTTTTCTTTTTAATGATTTAACATAAAGCTCAATCCTTTTAGTTTCTAGGAAAACTATGAAGAAATATTAAGAGGACTATAGACGTTCGTTTGCAAAAATCAACAGTGCACTTAGATTATCATTTCAACTTAGAATATGTACATATGGGTCCATATCCCTAATGAACCTCAAAATGAGGAACTCAAAAGAAGTGTGTAAACAAAATCTCTGTGCAGTAATATTGGACATGTTTCAATTTTTAACAAGTGACTGAGCTTAACCATTTGTGGTGATTTGGAAAGCAGAGGACCATAGAATAAAGGTGTAAAAACTTAGGAGTTATCAAATGTATGCAACAAACTAAATTTTCGAAGAACTTATAGTGTGAAAAAAGGGATTTTTTACTGCATCACTACAGGCTTTTCAAGTGTGCTAAATTATGGAAAAATAAATCTCACTTCGTACCCTGAAAATTTAACCACGTGAAAATGTTTCAGCCTTTGAGATGAGCCATCAAACATATCCAAGTTTACAATATGGAGAGAGGAATTGAGGAAAAGGATACCATTACCGCCTACCTAAAATGAATTCTGAACAGTTAAGATATTGAAATAATTTATGGCATAAGGGGGTAGGGGGCATGACCCACATGAGCAAAACTTGTCGATTTGAAAAGCTCACTAGAGCTTGTGTTTATGTAGTTTATGGAATATCGACTCTATAAATAAAACTTTGAATCTTGAAAAAACTTATGGTTTACTGGAAAGGTCTTGTCATAACAATTAAGATTTAATATATTTGTAAAAAGAATCTCATTATAGTTTGGTATTTTAAATGTATCATTTAAAACCTGGAAACTCTTTACATCTTACCTCATTATGAGGAAAACTCTTGTAATTCTCTGTGTAATATAGATGTTTGTAGAAGGGAACTGGTATGAAAAGAAACATAATAATCAGAAAAATAGCTCCACAAATCACACCTAAGGCTTCAGGCCTGCAAAATAAATGAAATATTGTCAGACAAAATATCATGATATCATTCAAGATATTCATTAACACATGTATTAGTTGAACGCCTAACAGTTTATTACATTTTGTATATGTAATGCAGTCTGCAAAATTGTCAACATTGGTTCTTTTCCCTAATATCAAACAGTATTATTTAATGCCAAATTGGCCTTAACATGCTTAAATCAAACTCATTAAAATGTTTCTCCAATTTAATAAATCAAATTTTGAATAATTCAAACCGAACTCAGTAAAATTTGACAAACCTAAATATCGCATAAATTAATATAAATCAAAGTTTCGGAAATTCTGGTCTGTCAAATTTTACAGAGTTCAGTTTGTAGATTTTAGGAAATCTGGGAAACCATTTGAAAAAAAAAGTGGGTCATTGACATCTCAGTTGGAAATGCAACTTATTTCATCGTTACTTTGGGATATTTCTGGATATATTTCGCACCAACAAGCAAACAAAAGGTAAGAATTGTTATATATGTACCTAACAACCACCCAGCATGGACGAAAAACTTGGCCATTTAAAAAGTTCTCGATCTGTTCACGAAAATTACCAGATACGAGGAAAAAAGAAGGAGAGATTTGGAAACAGAAGCAACCACAGAAAAATACAAATAAGAAGCAGTCCATCACCGAAGATTAACATACCATACATAAGCACATGAAGTCAAAATAATTCGGAATACCAGGCATTTTACTTAGAGAAAAAAGGAAGAAACCAGAAACGAAATGAACCACATAAACCACAAAACATATTTATAAAGAAAAGCTTGATCCATGGACACTTTATTAGCAAAGTAAATTTTTATGAACGAATCTACCAAGATTTACAATTCCCAAAATTGCGGCAATCATACACTTCTCCCTATTACCAACGCAATTGGAAGCAGTACCTCACTGGGAGCGAAGCCAGTTAAATTGGTATGGGATGGCCAGTGGGGTGTTGTCCAATTTGGAAATGAACTGACATTTTATGATCTATTTTCATCATTTCTACAATAATACCAATAGAAACCTCCATGAGAACAATGACACAGACGTGTGAGAATAGCAGCTAACCACATCGTTAATAACTTTATTGACTTAACTTTCACTTTTAACTTAACTAGATTCTTATTTTACTCTCACTTTCTATTTATATCTATAACGTCGTCATAACAACCTCTATTGTTACGTTACTTTTGGCGAACCACACAACCGCAAAATTTGTACTTCACTGTTTGATTTCATATGTAATATTGTCCTGAAGACGCCACGCTTGTTGGCGAAACATGTCGACCACATTAAATTAATACCAAGCGGTAATTGATGGGTGTTGTTGTCTTTATTGTCGTTTAAGCAAACAAACGGTAAGAATTGTTATATATGCAAAAACTTCTAGCCTTCAGTGAAGATTTCATGGCCAAATTGGGTCTCACAGTTGAGAGCAACATTTCTTCTGAAAGTCAAGCCTACATACCTGTCAACCTATGACAATGAAAATGCAGGTGATGACCTGCATAGAAGAATGAAATCTCAGGTTATAACGCGTACAAACTTTTTCGAGCTGAATTTCAGTATTTAGGGGACATTTTTCTTATAATTTATATCAAAGTTTCCAAAACATGTCCACATGGTTAAGTAATTTAAAATTGTACATTTTATTATTTCATTGCACTTGGAGGCCATTGATAGATTTGTGTTACATTGCCTTTATTCCTGTTCATATTCAGTCCATGACATACAATGTGCCAATTTGTGTTTTCTTTGCATACATTTGTGCAACTTTATAACAGTAGAACATATCATATATATGGAAATTTTTAACGACCTTGACTGGCTATACAGCCCTTGCACGGTGAGTAATAAAGCATATCAAAACAAATCAGAGGTTGATATTTGAGGATTATAAAATAAAGTTAAACAATAAAAGGAGGTACATGTATAGATGAAGAAAGTAATTTTCAAAATTTTTATTTTCTAATTGTTCTAAGGTAGAACAATAAGTAAAAGTATTATTCTGATATGTTTTTGCATTCAATTCATTTTAGATTTAATCTTTTTACAAAAAAAACATAAGTTTAAGGAGTATATTGTGAATTGACAAAAAAGGGGAAGTAACTCAAATTGTTTTTAAAACAATTTTGAAATACACAAATTATTACCGACCTAAAGCTTAGGTAATTGGTGTTAATTAACAGTGTGTTTGACACCAAAGCTGTCAAGTGAAGCCATGCACTGAAATGGGTCACTTGAGCCGAGTTTACACAGCTAGTTGAACTTCTTGTCCAGGAATAATTACGAATTTGCCGGTATTTTAATGAAATAGGTTTATATCTAATCAGTCTGAAGGCTTAGGAATCCAGGTGAAAACGGGTTATATTCCGAATCCCAGGGTTATTTGGTCACCCGGCGGGTGTTCCTGGTGACCCCTCAGAATTGTGAAAATCTCGGGTCAATTGACAGGTATGAGACTAAAAAATGGCTTCAGCATATTTAGGAAGGTGTCACAACAAAAAATTGAAAAAGCTTTTCAAGATCTCATCACTAAACGACCAATACATGTATAATGTCATAACAATGTCAGATGTTTGAAGTGCTGTCAAGATGTCTACAAAATTGAAATGGCAAAGTAGATGGACAATCAGTGAAACTGGTAGAAAACTTTTTGATCTAGTACCTATTATTGGGAGGGATATACAACTTGACACACCAAACCCCCAAATACATGTAGGAAGAATATTGTCAGAACTGAGAACAGGTTACAGCAGATTAAATAAATACTGAAACCAAATAGGTCAATCCCTCACGCAATATTATGAATGCTGTTAAGAAGAAACAACAAAACATTTCTTACTATATTACCCAAGACACCAACAGGCATCATGGGCATGTAAGATAGATGGAAATACTGAACATCTCAAAAGACATACAATCAATATTGTCACTGCCAAAGAGAGAAACCTACGAAGCAACAGCTCAAATTGTAGGGAAATAAATAGAAAGATAAATGGCCTATTATTTGGACTATGAATCATTTTGACTTTGTAAGTTCATTGCAGTTTGGTATTTTTGTTATTTTACTTTTTTCATATGGTACCCACAAAAAGATACTGCCTATCCTGTAATTCTTCCTTATTCATTTTTCAACTACAATAAGGTAGGGGCAATAAGAATTTTAAAGTTGTTCAAACAACTTAGGACTATTATACATGACATACACTTTTGCTTTGGTTGTTTTACTCTGGTCTATACCGAACAGATGTGCCTGTATAAACATTTCGCCAAATGGTGGTATCACTTTGTAACATATGAGGAAACCAAGAACAGAGAGTGCTGCATTGACAAGAAGATTAAAATGGAAGTCTGTTGTGTCCATCTTGTTATATTCGTTAATATTTCTGATGAAACCTTGCCGGCAAATTACGTGTCCACCATGACAGTTTTTCTAATACCTAGTTCGAACACGGATTATTTCCGAAAAATTTCCAAAATTGAACAATCTTAAAAACCAGTGGGAAAACTGCATGATAACATATTTAAACTTAATACAATTTTAATATTTTATATATAAAGTATACGCATTTTTAAAAATTATCTAAACTAGTATATTTTTAATGCGGTGACCCTGCAAATAGGGTGGACTTCCGAAGAAGAAGAAGAAGAAGAAGAAGAAGAAGATAACAAAATCTTCCAAATAGAAGTGTCACTGTCTTCGTTAGGACATTGTTAAATATAATTTACAAGAAAACGGTGTAGTAAATAATAATAATGAGAACTAATGGATGCTTAGTACAAATAAAATCATTTGGAATTTTCTAAATTTTGATATATATATGAGTAAAATGTTGCTATGCGAACAAATTCCTAACACAACACTCAACCACACTTTATTATTCCCGTGGCTTTTATCAGAGACATATATACACAAAGAATCTATATATATGTCTCTGCTTTTATATTGTCATAAAACACACTAGTGCTTTACAAAGCGGCTAATCTAAAAAAATTCATGAACAAATTACCAACAAATCGCCATTGAACTTGATTGAAATGCATCAACGATTCATATCTCAATTGAAGTCTCCGAAGGAACTTGAAATGAAATTGTCCTACTGATTCATTCAGATGTATATTTGATGTATGAGAATTAATGGAGAAAACCTGGTATAAGTGCACGATAACCAAGGCGACATAACCTTATATGTGTCTAAAAATAGTTACACTCTTTATACGCGGGATAATTATTTTCTAATCGTTATATCCGTTTATTCACACAGAGGCGATATTTTTATGGCAGTGGCCGGCAAAATAGAAAATATGCTATTTTGCGGCTCTGATTATATCTTAATTCAAGCCGACAAAATAGCATATTTCTATAGGAATGGCTTTTTTGTCGGCACTGGCTATATAGTGAATTTGTTGCCACCCTTAGAGGGTTACATTTATGGTTATTCCAAACTTTTTACCTATACCACCCCAAATTTTGTCTAGTTTGCCCCCCCCCCCCACAGTATGTAGCAGAGCTTCTATGAGCAATAGAGGGTACTCCAGCCGCTTGTGCAGGGGTGAACTTTATAAGACAAAAAGAAACGGTAATTCGGCCGTATGTAGCAGATCTAAATATGAGCAATATAAGGCACTCCAATACTGAGTTTGTAGCAGATCTGATATGAGCAATAGAAGACAACCCAATGGTTTGTAGCATAACCCATATGAACAATAACAGGTTCTCCACCAGTTTGTAGCATATCTTATATGAGCAATATCAGGTATCCCATCAGTTGTTAACAGATCATTATCTAATGGTTTGTAGCATAGCCAATATATCCACCAGTTTGTAGTATAACCCATATGAGCTAAAGAAGATTCTCTAATGGTTTGTAGCAGAGCTCATATGCGCGATAGAAGGCACTCCGGCAGTTTGTGGCATATCTCATATGAGCAAGTGGAAGGCACTACAATAGTTTGTAGCAGATTTCATACGAGCAATATTAGGCACGTTAATAGTTTGTAGCAGAACTCATATGAACAATAGAAGGTTCTCCAGCAGTTTATAGCAGATCTTCATATAGCCATTACAATGCAGAAGGACCCCAGGAGTTTGTCGCAGATCTCCTGTAATTAATAGAAGGAACCACGTTAGTTTTTTTGACAGAGCAACATATGAGTAATAGAATGTTCTTCATCAGTTTGCAGCAAAACTCATATAACCAATAAAAGAGGGCAAAACAGTTAATAGCAGAACACATATGCTCAATATACGGAACCACAGCTGTCATTAACAGATCTTACAAAGAATGCATCCCTGTAGTGCGTAGCAGAGCTCATATGAGCAATATAAGGAAATCCAGCAGTTTGTGTAGGAACTTCATTGAAGCAAAAGAGTGTAGCCCGTCTGTTTGTAGCAGATCTTATTATGAACGATTGTGATCTTCATAAACATAACGAAATGCTCTTTCTCCACTTTTTCAACAACAAAAACGCGTACATTTGTAAGTCTCGAAATGCTTATTCATTGGACAGTAATCGAAACAACTCAGTTTAAGAATACGAAAAAAAGTTAATTTATTTAATATATTTAAGTACATACTTGTACATTAAAATAACATTGTAACAGTTTATTGTCATCTACTAGATAAATAGCATTGTACAAATAAAATGTACAGACATAAGTGAGATATACTCAAAATATGTATCAACCCAAGCCATAAGACAAATAATTATGAATCTTTTATAATAAATCATAAATTATGAATATTTTTCCTGGAGCTTCTTCAGGTTCATCAATATCTTCACTAAATAAAGGATTACAAATGAAGTGTTCATATTTGCTAATATTCTTTCATGAAAATAATCAGTAACATACCGTAAGCTTTTTGTTTATTTTTTATTTCGTTTTTGATTTATATGATAATTCACAATATCTAGCTTAACTAACTTTTAAGTTTTTTAACAGTGTAATGATAAGCATTAGCCTGATTACAATAGTCTCAAACGACCTCAGACCACTCTCCTTAGCAGATTTGCATTCCATAGTACCATTGAATAATTATAAGTACCGGTAATGTGAAATCGCCCAGGGGCCAAGCCACAACTTCGGTTAAGATATTTTTGATTTCAAGACCTTTAAGAGAAATTTTCATAAAATTAATGCTTGAAAATATAGATGTACGTTATAAATTACTCACGATTGATTGAACTATTCCTCTGATATAATCTGTCATTGATTTTACGGAAAACAAAATATAAGGTAGCATTGAAATGAACTAATATCATTCTTATCAAATATTACTTTTAATCAATAGTCAGATACAATAACACATAACTATGATAAAAACTTACGCTATGTTAAAATACTAGTTTGGAAAGTAATACTGAAGGACAATTTTGTAAATTGTGCTTCAGTGCTTTGTTCTTATCCCCTTTTTAGCTCACCTGGCCCAAAGGGCCAAGTGAGCTTTTCTCATCACTTGGCGTCCGTCGTCTGTCGTCCGTCGTCCGTTAACTTTTACAAAAATCTTCTCCTCTGAAACTACTGGGCCAAATTTAACCAAACTTGTCCACAATCATCACTAGGGTATTTATTTTTAAAAATGTGTCCGATGACCTCGCCTGCCAACCAAGATGGCCGACATGGCTAAAAATAGAACATACGGTTATAATGCAGTTTTTGGCTTATATCTCTGAAACCAAAGCATTTAGAGCAAATCTTACATGGGGGTAAAAATGTTCATCAGGTTAAGATCTATCTGCCCTGAAATTTTCAGATGAATCAGACAACCCGTTGTTTGGTTGCTGCCCCTGAATTAGTAATTTTAAGGAAATTTTGCAGTTTTTGGTTATTATCTTGAATATTATTATAGATAGAGATAAACTGTAAACAGCAATAATGTTCAGCAAAGTAAGATCTACAAATAAGTCAAATGACCAATATGGTCAATTGACCCCATACCATAAGGAGTTATTGTCCTTTAAAGTCAAATTTAACAAATTATTCATAATTTTTTGTAATCTTTTACAAAAATCTTCTCTCCTGAAACAACTGAGACAAATTTAACCAAACTTGGCCACAATCATCACTAGGGTTTCTAGTTTAAAAAATGTGTCCGATGACCCTGCCTGCCATCCAACATGTCAGACATGGCTAAAAATAGAACTTAGGGGGAAAATGCAGTTTTTGACTTATATCTCTTAAACTAAAGCAAATGTATAACGGTTGCATTATTTCATGCATCAAATGCAAATAAAAATATCAGGTGTCGATTAATTTGTAGTAATATGTGAAGATTTCAAGAAAATAAGGCAAACAACACTAAATTATGCTAAAAAATCCACAATTTTGACAGAAACATGTGGTAGGCATTTCTTGACATTCTGAGCATTTTAACACTGACAGATTTTCTTTATCTTTTCTTACTTTTTAGAAATTAGACAATTCCATGCATTTTACCCTTATTTGCAGCACTATTATAGCCATATCGTCCTTTTTGGTAATAAAACAGGATTATCAGACATTAATTTAAAGTAGATCCCTAAAGATAATGCAGACCAAATCAGATACCAGCTAGCCCAATGATTTCAGGGAAAACAATTTTAGAAACAGTTGACGACGGACGCGAAGTGAAAATGTTAATCTGGCTCTTATTAGGGTCAGGTGAGCTAAAAAAAAAGGAGGGAAAGTAATACCGTCACGAAATATTGTCGATACTGTTTCTTCTTACTCAAATATTTGTTTTTATTAAAAGAGAAAGCTGATTAAAAAACATTGGGGTCTTTGTTTAGAATTAATCGTACATTTTTCGAAAATAAATGAATGCAATGTCGTTCGATGAATTTCAAAATGATTTTAAGACTGTACAACTATAATCATTTTTTTTGTATCACTTAACTAAACATCCAACAATGTTGTAACTGTTTGACGTAGACTATATTGAGATATTCAAACATGAGATAACATTGGTAAAATTTAAACAAAATGTGTAACATGTTTTCCGTGCACACACCATGTGTCTCTTGTATGAGATAACAAAATTAGAAAAATGTCATCAAAGATACCAGCCTTATAATTTGGTACCATACGCGTTTCGTGCCCATAAGACCGATCTGTGGCGCTCGAATCAAACTAGTTGAGATACATATGTATGGCAAGCCGTTCTCGTCAAAACTATGTTTAAACCATTTTTTCGAAAAAATTACACACTGAGAATTAAAAAAATCACACTGAGATTTAAAAACCTAAAATAGCACACTGTTTGTAAAAATACCTTAGTGTTTTGTGTATTTCTAACATATTATGAACATCGACTTTTCAGAAAAGACTGCATCTATGATATTTCATGTTAGTACTGGATTTGATTTGATTTTTGGTGTTTTAACGCCACTTTTAAGCACCGCTTTTGGGCTATTTCGTGGCGGCCAGTTTTTATTGGCGGAGGAAGCCGGAGTGCCCGGAGAAAACCACCGACCTTCGATAGGAAAACTGACAATCCTAGTCAATTAAGATTGGAGTCGAGTGCACCCGCACGAGCGGTGTTCGAACCTCAGTGTTGACTGGCTAGTGATTACAGTAGTCACTACTTAGACCACTCGGCCACCGAGGCCCCTGTTAGAACTGGAGTGTTGACTTCCGCGCTGGTAATATCAAATGGAAAAACTGTCAAAATATAAACACAAAAAAAATTAAATGGCTTTAACAGAACAGCCTTAAAAGAGAGGCAAATGATACCAAAGGGACATTCAAACTCATAAGTCGATTCTGCTCCACATGTGGCATCCGTCGTGTTGCTCATGTAAGTACAGACCGGGTGATTAGTGTAATTCGGTAGGTCACATTCGAGGGAAAGGGGACGGAATTGCAGTTACGACAGTTGGAACACATCCGTCGTCATCTGGGAAACAAATATTACATAACGGTCAATCAACTCGTGATGGCGTCCGTAGAATTGACGAAAAGATATTTTCAACTTGACCACTTGGAACTCTTGGTTTAATAGCTTCCATATGAGCAACAACCCTCTATCAAGGAAATCATAATAGAAAATACAAGCCCTGGATTATCGTATCTACTGGGAGATATAATACTCCGTATGCAGTTGCTGCTGGAATGTTGCTTCATAGAAATAGAAAGTTTACAGTTGGGAAGCTGAAATCTTTTGTCGTAACGTTCCCTCATTGTCAATTTCTAGATGTAAGTTAAGATATGAGGCAGATATACCAAAATATCTGTTGTATCCTTTACCTCAAGTTCGATGGGAGAGATGCATACAACATCGTCAACAAATTTTGAATTATTTAGTGAGAGAACATCATCTATACAGCGGAAAGTGAAGTTAAAGGATACTGCTAACTTCATTTCTTTCTTCCTAAGAAGTTCCTGTATGAAGTAAGCCTCAAATGAATATAAGAACAAGTCTGTAAGAAGAGGAACACAGTTTTTTCCAATGGGAACGCCGATTGTTTGTTCAAAAAACACGTCTTCCAAACGTAACAAATTCGTTGTCAATCAAGAAATCAAGCATTTTGATATTGTTAGTTTCAGTGAATTTTTTGTTGGAATCAGAGTGATTGTTAACACAGTACGATTTATCCCTCCCTAAGGCAAGATACTTGTATCTACGTCGGCCATTCTTTTTTTATGAAACAAAGCAGGACAAACTCTTTTAATTTGTCTTTTAGTTTGGAATGAGAATATTTGTGTAAAGTATAGAAAAGTAAAATGTTTTAATACTATTGCAAGATGAAAGAGTCTGAGATTGTATATACTCTCAGAGACATGTATACTATTTATTTATATGTCTCTGATACTCTAAAAGATCTTTAGAAATTTTTAGTATCCACATCTAATTCACGCCACCTCTAGAATAGGTAGTTTCACAATAACTTTGAAGAGCGGCTTTGATTGTTGATAAAATTTATGCTAACAATTTAGAAAGAGGTTTCGTGGAGCACTTGGAAGACCCCATCAATATAACGTTGTTTGCAAGGACACTTATGTAGTTAAGGTATCTAATACAGTGAAGGAAGATCCAGTTCTTCATATTTGGTCGAAATTCCAAAGGAACTTAGAACATGCCTATGATTATTAATGATTTCCTCCTTGGTAAGTGTCGTGGGGGTGAATGTTGAGTTTTCAAATGAATTGTCAATACCTGATTCATCAAGCAGTTTATGTAATGTGATGGACACACATAAACGTTGTTGTTTGGGGCTTTATCTGCGGGGACAACAACATATATTTGTCACATTACATTTAAATTATTACATAATTTTATGTACTGAAAATAACATATAAAACAGTCACAGCGGGACCGAACCAGTTTCAGTATAAACAGAATCTCCCAATTACATTTTGTACTTTCCTTCTTAATTAACACTTCCACTGAATAAAAGATCATTGGGTGAATTGTTTTGAACAACGACTGAATATAAATTTGATAGTAAATTAAACAAGCAATTACACAGAAACTATACTTGTAATATTTTAAAATTTGTCAGAATAACTCTTTATACTAAACATGTAAATCATTTATTGAAAAATAGTAACAGCTGGACAAACGAGTTATATCAAGATACATCTTTGTGACTTGACAAATATCGGAAACAATTGTACAGAAAAAAATATAGCGTGCAAGATTATAAATCAAGTACAACATTAGATATAAACATCACTATATCTCTAGATATTAAGTTTGTAGAAGTTTTCGTCGGTTCTCACAATTAGCAACTAGGTGTAGGAGAAGCAGGCAAGTTTCCGTTCAAGGCAAAGTGAAGCAAACCTGTAAAAAATAATTAAATTAAGATATACATTTTGGTTTAAATTATCATTAATATTACGAGTCTAACTTTCGTGAACCTGTATCAGCCATTTTTCTGATTATTGATTCTTTCATTTCATAGATTTGAACGGCAATGACAAAACCGCCAACCATTATATAGCGAAGTCACGTGAGTGAACATTTTTTTTTCAACAGAAATGGGAGTGTATTTGTATTTACAGTTACATCATAGAACAAGTGGACGAAGTATCAAAATAACAAGACCAAACAAAGTCCTCTTAAGTCAGAACAATATGTCTTCACAAACTTTGAAACAGATTATCTAAAGAATCATCCAAAGTATAAATGGATCGGTGCCTACGCAGTATGCCCAGTATAATTCAAGGACTCTAGCAAATGTATTTACCAACTATTATATTCACGATGCTGCTTTGATAAATGAAAAGTATGAAAAATAAATACTTGCATTAAGAATAATTATTTCATAATCGATACACTCTTTTTGTAGTAAACATGTTGAATTGACGTCCTAAAAACTTGAATATAACTGTTTAGTCAATTTTTGGTAATATCCTTTTGGCGTAGCTCGGTATTTATACATCCCGCCATTGTGTTATTGCACTATGGTCATTTTTGTATTCTTGTATTTTCGCTTAAGTACTTTGTCTGTAGAGTGTCTATATGCCATTTTGTTTTTCTTTGTTGAAATAGTTATTTGTTTTTATAGATATTAAGATTATAATACAATGTTGACTGCTGTACCCCAATTTTTGACATTTTTACCTATTACGTCTGTTTGCTTTACTCACACATTTGTTGTCAATATAATTGAATTCTATGCGTCTGTGAGAGGTTGTAAAGTTACCTAGCTATAAAACCAGGTTTAATCCATTTTCTACATAAGGAAATGCCGGTACCAAGTCAGGAATATGACAGTTGTTTTCCATTCGTTTTATGTGTTTGAGCTTTTGCTTTTGCAATTTGATAAAGGACTTTTCGTTTTGAATTTTCCTTGGAGTTCGGTATTTTTGTCATTTATTTTTTCATATTTGAACCGAACTAATTGATTTCAATTCATGACTTCGGACAAAATGTTTATGATAACTCAAAAACTAATACTAGTACATCAAAGCAAATGTCATCAATTATGAAAGCTTGTACACTTTAAAACCCTCGACTTTTATGCATTCCTACCTGCAACTGCGGATTGGAATCCAGCATTGTAGTCACAGGCCACCTCATTTGTCTTGTGGTTATTTCTATCATCAATGTAGGTATCGTCCAGATCCTGAGGACCTCCGACAAGTGCCCCATAAAGAGTGTGTGCGTTAGGACCTGAACTCCAATATGTACCCCAGTCACAGGTGGCAGGAGAGTAGTCACAGGTACTAATGAAAAAAAACAAATGTCATCTATTTATCTATCTTTCTATCAAAACGAGACGACAAAAAAGTCCTAAAAAAAACCAGAAGATATTCTAACGTCATATCGAGGATTTTTTGCACAAGCCTAACTCATGTAAGGAGATGTTCAGTTTGCTCGAAAATAACTGCAGATGCTTATCCTGTCGAAACTTTAAGTCTAATCAATCTAACGTTTTTGTTTAGAGCGTCACTGACCAGTCTTTTGTAGACGAAACGCGCATCTAGCGTACAAAATTTTAATCCTGGTGTTCATGATGAGTTTATTTCGTTAGGAATTCACAAGATCCAACTGTTTCCTCGTCATTTCTTTTCTTTTTTTTTTTTTTTTAACTTTTTTTAACTGTGTAAACTGCATTCATATGTTATACCATTTAAACATTTTAAAACTCTTACTGTATGATTCATTATCTGGAGATGTTTAAACGCAATATAAACATCTGATTTTATTCATTTTAGTTTCCCATTTAGACCTTATCACAGTATTTTGAATTATCAACGTTCGTTTTATTTTGAATTATTAGGAAAATATGGATATTTTGATTCTTGTATTATATTATTTTTAAATGTTTGTAAGGGGCATTGAGCTACGAGATATAAAAAAAAGTAAAACTTTATTTTGTTTTGTTCAATTCATTAATGAAAGTGAAATAGTGAAATAATAATTCGCTTTTAGCAGCCAGTTTCTTTCAATTTTGTCAAAATAATCTCTAAGAAACATCGCTGATGAATTACTCACTTGCAAGTGAATAATTCGACCTCATCAAATCCGTATTCATGTGACCTTCTATTTAACCCCTCAGCTAAAGATGGGTTACGGATGAACTATAGGGGTGTTAAGATATTAAAAGGAAAAGAATGTCAACATTGAAAGTGAAACAAGGGTAAACCATTCGGTTGACTGACTCAGTCCACAAAAACTCATTCTTATACAGGTAAAACCAATGATTAACATATTTGTGTAACCTATAATATGAAATCAAACAGACCTAGAAAAATTCAATTGCACGGGTTCGATATCTTTCTATATCTATATATATATCTATAGTTATGTTTATATCGGGTAATATGACCGTCAGCAGTCTTCGGAGGTCACCTCGATGGTTAATTAGATGGCGTCTTGACTAAAATACACAAGAATTGCTGATATATATTATCGAGTCCATGCATCGTTAATTGTTTATGTAGACTTTTTAGAATTTGGCTATACGTTTTAGTATGTTATAAATCAAATATGAGAATTTGAATCAAATCGATGAACACGACTTTGACAGCTAATGCCCCTTTAACATAATTAACATAATAGCTTTTGATAGTACATAAAAATTGGCTCGTTTTGCCATTTTAGACACTTTTATCGGGTATATCAAGATTGATATAGGAGTTTAGATATTAAACAATTCAATAATAAAAGCTTACAGGAAATAAACAGCATCCACAACAAAACAATAAACAGAAACGTAAAAATTTAGAAATTAACATTCACTAGTTAAAAAGTTGTTTTGCCATCTAATGGTTTTGTATCCTATTGGCCATTTATATGTTGGTGTAGGAGTTTTTTTAAAACTTCATTACAAACATTATTTCTTTGACAGCCAGTTTCCTATATAAAATTTGCATGGCGGTTAATATATGCATAGCAGGAGACGCTTGTCCTGTCGAGGCACACGGTCTAGCTTATTAAGGAGTTTCACGCGATTCCCTCAATTCTGTTTGTTACCTCAATTTTTTTCTTGCTAATCGATTTACTAGATTCGAACATCAATCAGTCCTACTGTCACCTGAATTTAACACATACAACTGCCCAAACTTTAGCTCCAGGTTTGTCTATTTTGCTCATAGTATGCATGATTTCAGTTACGATTCACAAAATTTGTTATCGGTCGGGGTTTAGGCAGAGTATTTTGATATTTTGATTTTCTTTCTACCAAGCTAGCATCGATACATTTTTATCTCTTCTAAGAATCAAAAGGCAGTGCTTTCTGGGTAAAAGTTGGATTTATCAAACTGAACTAGTTCAATATGCTATAAGTCTATGAGGGCATTACCAGTCGAGCACTCAACACTCCTGTGCTAACATGAAATGTCTTTGATGCAGTATTTTTTTTGTACATTTATTATTCATATATTGTTTGAAACACTAAGGTTTTTCTACCACCAGGCATAGATTACCTTTGCAAGATTTTGCACAACTTTTGGGAAATTTTAGTTTTCAATGTTCTTCAACTTCGTAACTGATTTGCCCTTCCCAATGTTTTGTTTTGATAGCCACTGATTAGATTATGTACACGAAACGCGCGTCTGTCGTATTGAATTATAAATCTGGTATTGTTGATGACTTCGTATTTGGCTGCTTTTGGAACCTAAGTAATCTAATAACAGTTTCATCTCTGAGGAAACTGCATTCTCGTATAATCCTAAGGGATTATACCAGCAATTCAAAATGCTTTTGATTACTTTTATTTAGTGTAAAAAAATATGTCTGCCAATATATATGAGTGGCCGTTCATGTCATTTGCGCGATTATATACGCGTATATAATTTTATACGCGTATATATACGCGTATATTACCTACATATACGCGTATATTGTGGTTTTTAACGCGTATATGGCTGTCATATACGCGTATATTGTGGTTTTATACGCGTATATTGTTAGAAAAAACACGTTTATACCTTATTCCAATTTATTTATCATATACGCGTTAATATACGCGTTATTTGCGTAAATATACGCGTTAATATACGCGTTATTTGCGTTAATATACGCGTTATTTGCGTAAATATACGCGTTAATGTACGCGTTATTTGCGTAAATATACGCGTTAATAAACATTCGTTTGTCTTATTGTTTTAACCAATGAAAACTGCGTTTTTAAACTGGTTTGTATTTGACAACTGATGCCATATAACGAATATGGCTGCCAACTTTAGCGGAAACGGGGACAGGGAGAGATTTTTGAAGAGAGTAAAAGAGACCGTTGATGATTGTTTCCGGCTTGGGACGACTGACGCCATACAAAAACAGATGTTTCAAATGAATTTTATGATTTGTTTTTCTATATGGAACTTAAAAATATATTAGACATCACAAATGATTATCACCTATATGTTCTCCATTATGTTTTTCTGCCAAGGATAAATGAAAGATTAAAGTCCTTCGCCTTTCAATATAACAACCATCCAGTCTCAACTGAACACAATAGGAGCCCAAATCAGCTGTTCATACAAGGTGTGCTTACAAACGCTATGTCCAACTTAAAGTCCATAGAGGAAGTACTTGAAGATGCTGGATCCACCAATGACAGATACTATCAAGACCTGATAGAAGAATATGGAGTTGAAGATAATGATAATGATGGTAGTGATAGTTAAAACGATGTCGATGCAATTATTTATGTTGTTGATGTCAATATACCTGGAGACAAACGTCAAAAGATATGTGAAGAAGTTAACCCATTGTCAAACATTTCATCACTTGAATATGGGGAGGAATTGTTTAAAATCACCGTACAACTTCTTGACTAGGACATGATCTGAAGAATCCCTACCACCTTTTGGTATATGACCATAGAACAATTAGTAATGTCATATCCATGTTACCAAAACATTATTATATAATTAATAAAACTCTTTTAAATCACTATTACCGAATTCACATTACTAGGCCCATACTACCTGCCTTTTTTTTTATTTCTAAACTTGGCATCCTAGTTTTTAATGTTGTGCTCTAAAACACATACTTCTAAAAAAAAGGTTCATTGGAAGAAACCAAGACCTTGTTGATAAATATTCCGTCTAAACTTCACAAATAATACACGATAGTCTTGAAGTATAAATTCTAGGTACTGACTTTGTTTATCATCTTAATAACGTGTTATAGTATTCTTTTATTAGCCTTTGTAATTTATTACTCGAACTGTTTAGCCTATTTTTGGCAGTGCTCATTTGACATGGCTCGGTACGTGGACATCCCGTCATAGTGTTTATTGCGCTGTGGTATTCTTTTCTTTTGGTTTTGTTAAGGCGCATTGTCTATATGCCTTTTTGTTTGTGTAAATATAAAAAAGAAGATGTGGTATGATTGCCAATGAGACAACTCTCCACATGAGACCAAATGACACAGAAATTAACAACTATAGGTCACCGTACGGCCTTCAACAATGAGCAAAGCACACACCGCACAGTCAGCTATAAAAGGCCCCGAAATGACAATGTAAAACAATTCAAACGAGAAAACTAACGGCCTAATTTATGTACCAAAAATGAACGAAACAAATATGTAACACATAAACTAACGATAACCACTGAATTACAGGCTCCTGACTTGGGACAGTCACATACATCGTTTGTAAATTTTGCTTCTAAAGAAAGAACAATTTGTCCTTCTGCAATTTTGACAACATAATCATAAATTTACTATCTGAAATACAGAGTGAGTTCATACTTAACATAGTTTCACTAAAAAGAACATATCATATGACATAGAAACTTTCCCATGTGGTTTTTGAAGAATAAATCAATTCAGGCTACCGAACCATTAGTTATTTTCATTGCAAGATGTTGTGTTTTTGTCCACTTATTGTCACATGCATCTCAATGATATCCTACAAATTGCCCGAAACTGAACAGGCAATTTGTTGAATTGTGTTTCAAAATTTCAGTCATTTTACAAATTGCCTAAATTTAGAAAATGCCTGTAACATATACAAAGCATACAAGGTCATGGCGTTTCTTATACCAGAGGCGGATCCGGGATTTTAGGTTTAAAGGGAGGGGGCGCAAACTTAAATTTTCGCCGAGCTCCGAATTTTTTTAGGTAAAATTATCGAAATATTCATTATTAAGCTGAGGACAACCCATGCTTTGCAAATTTTTTTGGGGGGGTGGGGGAGGGGGCGCACGCCCGCCCCTTATGAATCCGCCCCTGCATACTGTTTATTACTAAATTCTTTGGTTGTGTACTGACTGATACTTTAGTCTGGGAGAACAAGATTTATTTCAATGTTAGTTGTAATTGGCTTTGAACAAACTTTTAGTATTAAACTCCAATACTCTTATTTCGGTGCTTTGTGTCTATTGCCTTAATGTTAGTTGTTTCTTTTGAGTTATTCTAACTGCAACTGGCCGGATTTTTACAGTTTGTTCTTATGTTGTACTGTTACACTACTATCCTAGTATAAGGAAGAGTTGAGCGCTCACAGATATGTGCTTGTCCCAAATCTGGAGCCTGTATTTGTCACTGGACGTTAAAAATAAGCAACCAACAATCAATCAATTTAAACTCGTGATTATTTAAGGGGAAAACCAATTAGTATTTATTTTTTTGGGGGGCGATGGGTGGAAGACAGGAGGATTTTGAAAATGAATATAGTGGCCTAGCAAGACCTAAAAAAAAAATAGGCCTGATTAGCAATAGATTAAAATGAATAATAAATCTGCAAAAAATCCTCCTGCCCCTTTCCCTCCCCAGAATACCAAATAGTCGTCCCCTTACTGTTATTGTCCGTGTAGTTCTTACATTTATCCAACTTATCATCCCTACTAAGGCTGCCATGCCATAAAAACGTTTATCACACAGCACACATTCTATTATAGCTGCATTCATAAATTTATTTATGTCATTTAGACTAAACGACGCCTTGTTTGTTATGTGCCTCTGCCGTCTAAACTACCTATTTAAAAGGAAGAGGTAGAAGAGAGCCAGAAGATCTTCCCAATGCAAAAAAAACAGAAATGGACCTCTTCTGGTTCACTACCGCAGAACAAAAAAACACGCCCCAGGATTATAATTTAATATGCCAGTTATGTCCCCTTTGTGAAACCAAACGCAGTAACATGGACAGGTTTGATTGGATTTGAAATATTTGACATCTTCCCAGAAGTAACGCGTTTATATACGCGTATAGCACAAAAAATTTACATTTATTATACGCGTTTACACAAAAAAAATCATTTTCAGCAGTAACATGTATATATACGCGTATATTTTAACAATAAACCCGTATAAAACGACAATATACGCGTTTAAAACAACAATATACGCGTATATGTAGGTAATATACGCGTATATATATGCGTATAAAATTATATACGCGTATATAATCGCGCAAATGACATGAACGGCCACTCATAAATATAGTATCAGATGTCAATTGCTTGAACTTGTATCCCCGAAACATGGACAGTTACGGCATTAATATAATTTGCTTTTCAAAAGAGAAGCACCGAGGACAATATATTTCGCACTGCTATAAATTAATGTTAATATACCTTCCTCTGTGGTGCGGGCGCTTTGGAAAAGCAGTACTAGTTCCATAGCCAATCAAGAAACTGAAGTCATCACCATTATCGCCGACCATGTAATGAATCTGTGACATAGCCCATGTCTTGTATGCTGTTGCATCACCGATCCCTACATCTGCTGCTAGCAGGGCAATGAATGCTGCATTAGCTGTAATTCAAACATATATTTAAGGTATCGAAAAATCTTCAAAAGTATTTAAGTGTCTGCAGAACATTTTTGTAACAGGTGAGCTGACTTCAAACTACGATATGTGGATTCCTTTAGTCACGTTTTAAGTTTTTAAGAAATGCGTTCAGTTTTATCTCTGGTGTTTCTTATCCTCCTGTCTAAATTTTGTGTTAAAGGTATGGTTTGTAAAAAATAATTCCAGCAAGAGTAAATATATAAATAAATTATGATGTCATAAAAGTAGTAAATGTGTCATGAAATATATGATTTGCATAAGAATCTTGCATATTATGTTATATCCAGGTAAAAATTATCACAATTTATAGATAATGATATATATTTCTAGACACAGCCACGTAAAAATTCAATTTTCTTTTCAAAATTTCATAAACAATAAAATTTACCAGAATATCTAAGAGATGCCCATTCTAATCTCCATGCTACTCCACAGGTTGTGTACGGTAAAGATCCTGATGGCATCCAAGCAGTGATGAAATTCTCTACACGTGTTTTGTAAATATTATCCCCAGTTATATCATAAAGAAGAACCTTTAAAAGATAGCAAAGACAAAAACTAGTTTAACACTGCAAAAGGTTTGTTGTCATTCCAAAGACAATGGTAATCTTTAGCTATAACTTCATAGGCATTTTGGAGTTATTTCAGTTCTTCGGTGATGATGGCAGATTTAATTTATTCACAACTTTCCAAGATACGGATTATTTAGCGCTTGACAAATTGCATAGACATTTGTCTATTCTTGAACACTGTTTTTTCACCCATATATGTCTTTATTCTGTTTCTTGTGTCTACGTGACGTATATCCCAAATTTAGTTTTAATAGTGCAAGTAATATACTTCTATACGTAATTAGCAACAAAAAAAAATAGTGTTTTGAGCTTATCCTGTCGACGTACTCGGTTTCATTACTTTTTGGAATTAATGCGATTCCCTAATTTTTCTGTTAGTTACCTTAATTTGTCTCTTCCTACTCGTTGTGTGCCATTAGAACACCCGTAAACTACTGTCGCCTTAATTTAAAGCGCGATTGTCTAAGTTTACCTATAATTAATTTCAATTAAAATGGGGAAAAAAACAAACAATGCTAAAAACATCTAAATGAATAATAAAATAGCATATGATATCAAAATTTGTTTGTCTTTGCTTATTTTGTTATCTTGTATTTTCGTGTAGACATCCATGCATGTATTTCAATGGATATTATCATATCATGTGTATATATTGCATACTTCACAAAGCGCCGTCTTATCATCCCAGTCAAATGCCCATGGAATGCTGTCGTGGTTGTAGTCGTTATAAAAAGCTTCGGCTTCAGTTAGGTACTGAGGGTTATTGGTTGCCATATACAGCAGTACTGCACTTGAACACATCTCGTCCTTATACTCATGGGACCTGTAAAGGAAAAAAAATGTGATTCTTGTCATCTGGAACAGCCAGAAAAGGACTTTTTGAATGCATAGACTAGAATTGTTTTTAAAATATTAGTCTTTACCAGACATGTTCATAGTCATAATATTTGCACATTTTATCGAAGCTATTTTCCTCCAAATTGAGGCGACAGAAAATTGTCATAATTTATAGACATGTTTGATGATGGCTTTCAGAAACCTCAAATAAAAAGGCTGGTATCACAAAAATAATTAGCACACAATTTTTTTTAACAAATGGTACATTGCAAAGATATCTGGTCAACATTGTACAAATGGGCAATATAATACATGCACGTTTAAAAGACAAAACACGACTTTAATGAAAATTTAATTTAAACATTGAAAGATTAAGATGTTATTAATGTAAGAAACAGAGACATACTCATAAAATTGGGTAATATCATAGATGTCATTGTTGTATAAACCTGGAATATCCTTTGCGAAAGAATACAAACTCTCAGCACTTGACAAAAGTGTGGCAGCATATGACGAGTCTGTAATAAATAAATTCAAATTCAAAAAGTAAATAATAATATCATTTAGAAAGAGAAAACGCAAGATAAATCTATACGGGACGATCTTTGTAAGAAAAATGCTTGTACCAAATGAGGAGTATCACATTCGGGTATTTTCTGTTAGTGTTTGTGATGGGCACTTCTCGATCTTGTCAGTTAAACTCAAATTTTGAAGAACCATTAATTTATGGTGAAATTTGGTATCTCCCTGGTTTCCTTACGCCTATTGTGCCTGCTAGCAAAGGATGATGATATAGTAATCTATTTGTTGTTTATAAATTTAGTTGTACATCACAGGTGTTGTTCAGAATAGAGTATTTTTTTAAAATATATATTCTTTTCCAACAATTCAAATTGACATATATTGAGTATGCAGCGTTAAAACAGCTTTTCTTTTAAAAAAGAAGGTCTAGGGCAAAATTGCTTGAATTTCAAGGCAGCTTTTCGTCTTTAAGAATTGAAAATTGTTACCAGTGAAAATTTATCAAAATATATATAGTTTATCATGGTAGTGAGCATTAGCAATGACTACTAGTTCAACAGCAATAATAGTATAGTATTATTTTATCATAAAAAGAAGAATTGAGGCCAAAAAGGTCCTTTGCGTTTAAATTTGAAAGGGCCTTTCTGGCGTAAAAATCACGAGAAATTCAAGATCTTTAGGTTTGGCAAGCCAAAATGCCATAATTGAAGTAAATTTGGGATTCATATCGAAACTATATTTTCTCAGAGTACAAAGTGGTACAAATTATATACGGTTTACATTATATTTAAAACGAAATTGCATGGGAAAGAAGATATGATGTGAACAAAAGTACATGGTAATTTTTCAATATTGCCCTTATAAGTAAGGGCGTTTCTTAAATATTGTCTATAAGAAAGTAACGTAAATAAATAATTAACGATGTCAAGTGATGTTAATAGCAATAGGACTAGAGTTATGTCATGAAGCAAAAACCAAACTTATTTCGAAATGTCCGTTACTTCTATACGCACATATAAACTACAAATAATGCTTATTTACCTAGTTCACTAAATACCAATGCACCGACAGCCAATGCTGCTGCAGTTCCCCCAGTAACGTCAGCTCCTGACATGGTATCGTCAAGATAATACGCAGGTCTATTCATAGTCATTTCTTCAGGTCGTCCCCAATAAGCATGATCTAAGTCACCATCACCAACCTATTTTTGAATCATTTTAAAATGAATTTGGAAATAACGAATATAGTTAAATATCTCAAGGATAACATATCCAGGGAAGATCTAGATAGTTGAACAATCGTAACTTAAAATAAAACCAGAAGTACTTTGCTGTATTTGAGGGGCTACTTTAGTTTAAACTTAATCAGCAATTTTCTAAAGGTTAAACAATACATATACATTGAGACCTATAAAACAAATGTGGGTCTGATCAAACATACACAAATCTGTCGCGTTCAAAAAGGCTTTTGAATTATTATATCCCTCTAAAACTTTGTCTGTCTAACCACGACTTATTTAGTGGATGGATTGAGATTGAGAGAGAGGATTGTTTGTTCATATATACCTGTGCATAATATATTCTGTCTGATGACCTCCAACATTTTATTAGATATTCCAACGGCCATTTGATAGAGTTATACATATGTTGTAATTGAGCAGAGTCTATATATGCATCTTTCCAATGTAATAAGCCTATTGCAAGGTTTGTAACAGAAGCTGACATTGGAAGGTTGAATTTTACGCCATCTCCAGCTGAAAGACATAAAACTTCTTATAATTGTTTAAATCGAAAACAAAATAAATTTTAGTATGGTCACAGTCACGATTATTGGTTGGAAAAGAAAGAAAAAGTAAGCAATACCGATACTTCAGATAAGAGGCATATACAATGACTGTCTTGTTTTTGGACAAATTGGTTGTCAATGTTCAAGCTTTTTGGTAATTCTTATCCATATCTAAACAAACAGAAATCAAAAGGTCAATACGACCGGACCAAACAGACAAATGAAGATAGTTGTACAATCAAAAGATAATACCACAAAATGATAGGTGTTTAAATAAACCTTTGATAGAGTTGAAACTGGAACTTTTGTAGTTGAAGAAACAAAGAAGATTCAAATCCAGAGGAGAATACATCAGTGAGAATTCAAAAGCAACTAGACAGGTATACAAGAAACATACTTAAAACATAGACATATAATACAACTCAGCCATACCAACACCCTCTTTCTTTGACTTCGGTGAATTTTCAATATCTTCATGTCAATTTTTGACGGCATTGGATGTTTTAATGTGTATAAGAATGTGCTAGGAAGAATTCATTTTCGTCTAGCCGATTTGTCGCTAAGGAAGGACTGAGGCGTGCTGTTTCCGGTGGCAGCGTCAACAGCCTCAACAATAGTTACTTTGTGGTTAGGTTTTAGTAGCGAGAAATATCTCTTTGTTAACATAGCTTTTTAAGGTTTTATACTTTTTGTATGAAATTGTTATTGAAGAAACAAAAAACGGTACAAGGTTAAGTTTTTTTCAACGGGTGTCTTACCATCATACCAGCCTCCTGTAAGGTCTTCGCCGTTGATTCCCACATCATTAGTTGCCGAATCTCCACGCCAGTCTATACGATTAAATGTCAAATTGCCTGATTGTTGGGCTTCATAGAACAAAATGGAGTATTCAATTAGTCGTCCGTAATCGTGTGCCGTGGAAACGTTTGTAGAACTACTTGTCGTTGTGGTTGGTGATGTTGTCGTTGTAGATGATGCTGGTGTTGTCGTCGTTGTTGCTGTTGTCATTGTTGCTGTCGTTGTTGTGGTTGTTGCAGGTGTCGTTGTCGTGTCTTGTGAAGATGCAATATCACTGACACACGTTCCTGTTGGAAAGCTTGCTTCACTACCTTCGTATCTTAAAATGAATCCTATTTCAAGAAGTTGATTTGATATTGAATGTGCATTGTGTAGATAATATACATCATAATTATTTGAATGGCCAAAGCTTACGGCATTCCAAATCTAAAAGACAGAATTTTTTTTTTTAATCATGGTTGTTGAAAATTAAGGCGGCGACGACGATGGAAAATCGACTACTATTTAGATTAATTTACATGGTTGGTTGATTTATTGATTTTCGTTGTTAAACGCCACTTTCAGTACTATTGGCTTTATCTAGGCGGCCAGTTTGAATTGTTGGAGGAAGCGGTAGTGCCCTTATAGAATCACCGTTTTGGTTTTACAGTCTGACCTTTTGCAGGAAAACTAACAAATATAGTCAAGATTGGAGTGTCGACAAGCTAGTGATACTGTAGATGAACTACTTTTTCTCTCGATAACATTTTATTCAAATATTTACAATAAAAATTCACCAGACGCGGTACCTGGTGTCACAAACAAACAGCTAAATGTGGTCAATTAAAACAATATCAATTTTCAAAAGTTTAAATGTAACAATTCTATTACATACCAACTAGTATATGAACTACTTAGACCACTGAGTTATTAGATGAAAACTTGTTAGAGACAATTTATGTATGTAAAAACAAAGCGTGTACACTTAGCTTACAGTGAAGAGATGGACAAAAATGAACCAAAATATTGAGAGAAAAAAATAAAATAGAAACAAAATTGACACAAAGACCAATACAATTTCTTCTATTATTTGAAGAACTGATTCTGCTGAATATTTCAATCTTATGCATTTCTACAAGAATCCAGTGGTTGAAATATACCTCAGATCTTTACAAATTAGTCTATAACATTGTATGTAATTGCAAGACTTTGTGTTATTGGTTTTACACTCCAGGTAGCCTTTCGCATTTTATTTAATAACAAGTCTTTTAATATCTGAAAATGCCGTACACCGACAGTAAATCAGCAAATAAAACGATTTTGGTGAAAAAAATTCTGCGTTCTCAATAAATCCATAATGAATATATTGATAATGCAAGATTTTTTAAACACAAATAAATTATAATATAAAGCATGCGATATAATAAAAACACCGGTCTGGTCCTCAGTGGCGGATCCAGAAATTTTCATAAAGTGCGGGCCCACTGACTGCCTAAGAGGAGACCCGCTCCGGTCATGCTTCAGTGATTCCCTATATAATCAACCATTTTTTCCCCAGAAAATGGGGGGGGGGGCCTGGGCCCCTCTAAATCCGCCTCTGGTCCTAATGTTGACCTCTAAATGATTTTTAGATGTGTTGTTGGATTGTTATTTCGTTTTGATAAACCCAACACCGCCATTATTGATGGGTATAGAAAAAATGGCTGTGGTGAACATTCTAAACCATTTGGTAGTTTATGATATTTGTATAAATGATGTCCATGCTAATTGAAACGTGTACATTTTAAGTAAGTAATAAAATTGAAGTTCTTGAAAAATGTAAAATATAAGTTCTAATGTAAAAAATAAAACACTTTTAACTCACCTGATTCACATATACCGTTTGATCTAAGTACATATCAATCAGTATATCTCCTATACCATACTGGCTCTGGATGTCAAACGTGCAGGATCCCTGCATATACCAAGTCGTCCCACTTCCCCACGTATTATCATTCTCAACAGGTACAGTGTAAGATGTCGTTGGCTGTTGTGACGTAGTTGTCGTCGATTGTGACGTAGTTGTCGTCGATTGTGTCGTAGTTGTCGTCGGTTGTGACGTAGTTGTCGTCGATTGTGTCGTAGTTGTCGTCGGTTGTTTCGTAGTTGTTGTCGGCTGTGTCGTAGTTGACGTCGGTTTTGTCGTTGTTGTCGGTTGTGTTGTAGTTGTAGTCGTCGGTGTCGTAGTGGTGGTTGTAGTCGTTGATGTTCCTTGATTGGAAGGAGAAGGGAGGTTGCTGCTACATGTACCGGTAGGAAATGATTCTTGAGTTCCGTCGTATTGTAGAATAAAATCGACTTTTTGTATACCCGCATGCCAATCGTTTTGATTAAAAAGGTCATATTGCTGTCCATTATTCATAATATTTCCAATGGTCAATTTCCAAATCTAAAAAAGATATAAAACGATATGAACCCAAAGAAGAGTTCCGCACTTTATTAGGTATAGTTGAGCTTATCGGCACTTAAATATTGTGTTCTTTAAATTAAAATGAATATATATTTGGATTTTGTTTCTCAGTTTGATAATGATAAGGTAATAGTATATCACAAAATCGCTATCATTTCTATAATGCTCGTCCAATAATGACTCGATTACACATCTGAACAGTAACACGCGTACCCCTATATTGTAATGTACCAATTGCCATAGATAAAATTGAGAATGGAAATGGGGAATGTGTCAAAGAGACAACAACCCGACCATAAAACAGACAACAGCAGAAGGTCACCAACAGGTCTTCAATGCAGCGAGAAATTCCCGCACCCGGAGGCGTCCTTCAGCTGGCCCCTAAACAAATATATATACTAGTTCAGTGATAATGAACGCCATACTAAACTCCAAATTGTACACAAGAAACTAAAATTAAAAATAATACAAGACTAACAAAGGCTAGAGGCTCCTGACTTGGGACAGGCGCAAAAATGCGGCGGGGTTAAACATGTTTATGAGATCTCAACCCTCCCCCTATACCTCTAGCCAATGTAGAAAAGTAAACGCATAACAATACGCACATTGAAATTCAGTTCAAGAGAAGTCCGAGTCTGATGTCAGAAGATGTAACCAAAGAAAATAAACAAAATGACAATAATACATAAATAACAACAGACTACTAGCAGTTAACTGACATGCCAGCTCCAGACTTCAATTAAACTGATTGAAAGATTATGTCTTCATCATATGAATATCAGGCACAATCCTTCCCGTTAGGGGTTTAGTATCATACCATCATAACATATATGAGAAGAACATAACCCGTGTCATGCCAACAACTGGTTTTAAAATAAATGTGTTTAGTGCCAATGCAAAGACCCTATAAGTGAATCAATATTAACGCCAAAATATGCAATCTTTAATGACCTGACAACAGTATCGTAACTATATCCCTTCGTAATAAGTCTATTTAAAGGTTTTGTTAGCTTCAGAGGTGAATACTGACATTTTTGTGCTTTATAAAGAATATTTCCATAAAAAATTGGATGTGAAATACCTGAACGTATAAGAAGTCTGCCTGTTGAGCTATATTTACGAATGATGTCCTTATACCGATGATAAAATTAAGTAAATGTTTTGACTAGTTTGTGATATCGAAAACCCTGGTGTAATAATTTTTCAGTAATACATAAATTTCTCTCGTTAAAATCTAAAACATTGTTACATACACGAGCGAATCGTACAAGTTGAGATATATAAACACCGTAAGATGGTGACAAGGGAACGTCACCATCTAAAAATGAATAATTAACGATAGGAAATGAAAAATCATCTCTCTTATCATATATTTTAGTATTAAGCTTTCCATTAATGATATAGATATCAAGATCGAGGAAAGGGCAGCGGTCATTGTTAGTATTAGCTTTATTTAAAGTAAGTTCAACAGGATACATTTCTTTAGTATACATACTGAAGTCGTCATTATTGAGAGCCAAAATATCATCCAAATATCTAAAAGTATTATTAAATTTGTGTATCAGATGTTGTTTCGATGGGTCTTTGCTGATTTTTGTCATAAATTGTAACTCATAGCAATACAAAAAAAGGTCCGCAATAAGTGGTGCACAGTTAGTCCCCATTGGAATTCCGATAACCTGACGATATACGGAATCTCCAAAGCGAACAAAAATGTTATCTAGTAAAAATTCAAGGGCATATATAGTATCAAAGCATGTCCAATTGACATAGTTTTTTTGTTTATTGCTACTAAAAAATGACCTAGAAGAGTTTGAACATATATATTCACATTCTGACTTTTTAAATGCCCATTTAATTAGGTGTGTGAATTTTTTCTTAATGAGAATGTGAGGCAATGTGGTATATAGGGTAGAAAAATCAAAACTTTGAACAGATTCAAAATCACCAATATATGCATGTAATTTATCAAGTACTTCCAACGAGTTCTTGACACTCCAAAAGTAATTAATTCCACTATTTTCGAAGGCCTTATTTGAACAATTTATTATCAGGTTTTTGATTGTACCAAGTGTACTGGTAAGAAGAATAGACAATTTAGTAGTGGAACAATGGCTTGAAGACGAAATGAATCTATATTCTGCTAGAAATACTGTCTGATTTTATTATTGTTTTTACCAGAAACACTATATTAACAAATAAGATACTGAAAACAATTTATTTTTTAAAATCTATTCAAATGTCTCTTGTATCTGTAATCCGTAAAAAGGAATGTTTGTGTTAAAGTAATGTTATATAAAACAATGAGATGATTGCCAATGAGACAACTATCCACCAGAGACAAAATGACGTAGATGTTAGCAAATATATGTCACACGGTACGACCTTCAACAAAGGAGTATATAAAACCAACATCCAGATTTATGTACAAAACAACAAATTAAACGAAAAACAAATATATGCCACAAACGACAACCACTGAATTACAGGTTCATGACTCAGGACAGGCACATACAGAGTATGGCCGGATTAAACATGTTTACGGGTGCCCAACCCTTCCCTTGTTCAATTTAAACAGCCTCATGTTAAAAAAAATTCTAGCAAAACATATATGTTGTGAAATGTATATATGCCATTATGACATATAGGTTGATTTTAAGTTTAAATTTTTCCAATTTTTACGATTACATTTATGTCTAAAAATGAACAATACTGATTGATGGTCTTAGCTTTTTTACGCTGATATTGATTATTTCAGTTTGATATGAGCCTATCTATGACCTTATCTACTGTACTGTTGGTTATATACTGACCTGTAAGTTTGAAGTGGGTTGATCTAGGAGCATATCTACTGTGATAGTGTTCTCTCCATGTGACTGTGTTACTTCAAATTCACAATAACCATTAAAGTACCATGATGTTCCACCACCCCATACAGTTATCTTCTCTACTGGTACTTGGTAGGTTGCGAATACACTGACGGACAGGGTCAACACAAGAGCAAAACTTATCCTTGTAATACAAAAATATATAATTTTGATAAAATAATGCAAAGTCATTAACTTTTCTCTCCATTTGTTTAAAAACTGGAAACAAATTTATACAAGAACACATATTCTTTAAATTCATTACATATACATATTCAATTTTATAAAATTTATCAAAAACACGGATTTCCGTTGTACATTCCTCTATAATATTTTTTTTTCAATGTAAAGTGTACATTTTTTGGTAAATAGTGAATTGAAGAATAAATCAAATTAAAATTTACCATTTACTATTTCTAACTTAAAATACTTACTTCATGATGGGACAAAAAATGCGCTTCATCCTGAAACATCTCGCTTGTGTAGCGTTTATATAGCTGTTCAATATTCATGCATGATTTCATCTAAATATATCCGTTTATTTACTAGTAAACAAGTACTGAAGTCATGATGTTTATTGAAATGGCCACTTAATTATGTTATAATTATAAACATTTATTTTTAAAAGACTTTTAATTTTAAAAGATGTATTGGTCTATTTAATTATTTTTCACAAAACTTATAAATGTATGCATGAGTTCCAAATTTATGAAAATGTAATTGATTCAATTGAATTTTGTTATAACGAATTGAGTGCACGAAAATTTCGAGCCGAATTGATATTTAATATGAACTATTCTTAGGGACTTGACAATCATGTTTATTAATTACAAATTTGCTGACTTTCGGCAATTTTTTTAAACCACCCCTGTGTTGATGTGGTAGCGCGCTCGCCTCGAACGCGGTAGATCATGGGTTCGATTTCAAGTCAGTGTATTTGACATACGTAAAGCATCTCATGAATATGAATAAATAATTTTGTATTTAAGATTCAACCTAACCATCAGATAATTTGCATCTGAGTCGACAAAATCCTTATATTCAGAAAATTATTCCGATATCCCATTATACCGACGGACATCGAAGGCTTCAGGAAGATCTGAACACTTTATCTGCTTGGTCTAAAACCTGGTTATTACGTTTTAATGAAACAAATTGTGAGGTACTTAGAATTCGTAAATGTTTTGACATTATATAGTTTAAATAGCACTCCGTTATCTGAAGAAGATTATCAACGGGATTTAGTAGTTATTATTTCAAATGACTTACATTCAAATGGTCATATTTCCCATGTGGTGAAAAAGGCAAACCAGAATTTAGGTCTTATAAGAAGATGTTTTACTAATTTAATGTCTGAGAAAGTATCTATATTGTATAAATCTATTGTGCGTCCAATTCTCGAATATGGATCAACCATTTGGTTACCGAATTTAATTAAAGATATTGAAGCTTTAGAGAAAGTCCAGCGTAGGTGTTCTCGTATGGCAAGCAATTCATTCGACTTAGAATCACTTAAACCTAGAAGATGGAGACAGGATCATCCGATATGTGTGGAACATATAAATATACACACAGCAAATAATTTCACCCACAGACAATTTATTCGAAATGAGAGAATGGCATACTGGAGGTCACAACTATAAGGAAGTTAATCATTTTGCTAGAACTGATGTAAGAACAAACTTTTTCTCAAATCGAGTATGAACTCTTGGAACTCGCTTCCCGCCTCTACTGTCGCTGCGCCTACTTTGGACATATTCAAAAAGAAATTGAAGTCCCTATCGTATGGCTGAAGGGATAAATCACAAAATTAAAAAAAGTGAGTAAGTAACAAAGTAACACACCAGGATATCCCATAATACCGACACACCAGGATATCCCATAATACCGACACACCAGGATATCCCATTATACCGACACACCATAGCCAGGATATCCCATAAGACCGACACACCAGTGGCAACATATTAGTTTGGCGCTCAAATAGTTTAATTCGGACCAGACGTTGTGTATTAGCAAGTTTTATTTTTCTAACTGTTGAACCTTTTGATATATAAGATAATTATGGATGAAAGCAATCAAAATAAAGATTTCAGAGAACATTTCACAATATTGCAATCTTTCATGAGGATAGTGGTATCTTGTCATTTATATGCACTGTCTGCACTTATATCATTTTTTAAATTACATTTGACTTGTTAGTATATGTACAAGAATATATCCTGTTCTGATAAAAATCAATTGGGTTATTTTTTTTATTAAAACTAGAGGCTCGTGAGAGCCTGAATTGCTCACCTGGTTTTAATTAGATTATTTGAACATGTAAGAAAAAGGGTCCTATGTTAAACTAAGTCCCCTGCTGCCAGCCATCTTCGATGAAGGATAGGCTACAAAGTAACAACACTCAGTCAGCACTTCATAAGGAACATTCCTGCTATGTTTGGTTTTATTCCATTTAGTGGTTCTCTAGAAGAAGACATTTGTATGACTTTCCAATAGGGTCCTATGTTAAACTAAGTCCGGCACTGGTGGCCATCTTGGTTGATAGATCGGCTACAAAGTAACAACACTTGGTCAACACCTCATTAGGAACATTCATGCCATGTTTGGTTTCATTCCATTTAGTGGATCTCTAGAAGATGACATTTGTATGTATTTCCTATAGGGTCCTATGTTAAACTAAGTCCCCCGCTGGCGGCCATCTTGGATGAAGGATTGAATACAAAGTAACAACACGTAGTCAACACCTCATAAGGAACATACCTGCTATGTTTGGTTTCATTTCATGTAAAAAGTTAACGGACGACGGACAACGGACGACGGACGACGGACGTCAAGTGATGAGAAAAGCTCTTTTGACCTTTTAGGTCAACTTGATGAAAGGAATGCCACATTTTTGCTATGCTTCCCAGATAATGCTAAGATAAAATAAAAGACAGTAATAGGTAGTAAGTTAATAAACTGCGATGAAAATGTAATATAACAGCATTGCACGTAAACGACATAGATGTATGAAGTTACCAAAAAATAGCATATTCAATCAAAGTATGTAGATTACTAAAATTATTACACCAGGGTTTTCGATGTCACAAACTTGTCAAAACATTTACTAAATTTTATCATCGGTACAAGGACATTATTCGTAAATATACATCAACGTGCAGACATCTTATACGTTCAGGTATTTCACATCCCATCTTTATGGTAATATTATATACAAAGCACAACAATGTCGACATTCACCTCAAAAGCTAACCAAACATTTAAACAGACTTATTCAGAAGGGACATAGTTACGATACTGTTGTTAGGCCATTCAAGAGATGGCATTTTTTGGAATTAATATTGATTCAATCATAGGGTCTTTGCATCGGAAATAAGCACATTCATTCTAAAACCAGTTGTTGGCATGATACGAGTTAATGTTCTTCTCGTATATTTTTTGATGGTATGATACTAAACTCCTAACGAGAGGGAGCTTGATTTTCATATCACGAAGACCTGTTCTTCGGTAGTGAGCCAGAAGATGTCCATTTCGGTTTTTTTTTTGCATTGGGAATATCTCCTGGCTTTCTTCTACCTCTTCCTTTTAAATAGGTGGTTTAGACGACAGAGGCACATAACAAACATGGCGTCGCTTAGTCTAAATGACATTAATAAATTTATGAATGCAACTATAATAGAATGTGAGCTTTGTGATAACCGTTTTTATGGTATGACAGCCTTAGTAGGACATCCCTGTAGGGACGATAATTAAGATGGACAAATATAAGAACTACACGGACAATAACAGTAAGGGGACGATTATTTCATATGTTGGGAGGGGAGGGACAGGACGATTTTTTGCGGATTTATTATTCATTTTAATCTGTCGCTAATCATGTCTATTTTTTCAGCTCTTACCAGGCCACTATATTCATATGTAAAATCCTCCTGTCCTCCACCCCATCCCACCCCAATGATCCTGTCTTATGCAAGGTTAAAGGTTATTTATTTTCAGCTTTCACCTGGCCAGGATATGCAATTTCACCTCCCCCTCCCCCCCCCCCCCCCCCCAGATATTCAAATGGTCTTCCCCATAGTATATTTTCCTGTAACGCAACTCATATTTGTCAGTTGGTCTGTTGTGGATAATTCCCCCAAACTTTTATATTGTAAATGTGTCTTTGTATTTTGAAATCTTAAATGTGAACCGATTAGATATGGGTCTGCGGGCTTCCCCGTTAACCAACAAGTTGTGTAAGTTGAAAAAAATAACTTTCCGGTTCGAACCAATTTCAGTATCCCTAGATCAAAGTCATTCGATGAGTGTTTTATAAGTTATTGACTGTCTAATTATAAACTCGACGTCGACACCATTTGTACTTTTAATATGTAACGAATAGGATATATCAGATAAAATATGTTTTTCTCCCGTTTTAATTGCCTTTCCAGCTATCTTACGCTTGTTTATTTATAGCATTGTAACAAGAAAAAAACCTTATGTCCGGATTAAATCACTCACAGCAGTCATGCGGTCCGTCCTCTTAAGAAAGCATTAACGGTAACTGGTTTAAAGTCCTTATAACAAATACAAAATTAATTTTGATATGGTTAGATATAATTTTAAGTATACAAGAGTTTTAATTTTGTTATCATAAATCAATCATATAAACAACTTTACAATTATACAAATCATATTTTTAACGCCACCAATGCCTTGAACTCTTTATTAGATTCGCATGAAAAACGAACAAACTCCGAATATTTAAAAACAAAATGTAAAGTACACTTAATAAGACGTTATGGTATTTAAAATCGTCGACACACACACAATTCTGTAAATGTTGCAGTCTTGGGGCTGATTTTAAGGCTTCGATTGGCTAGGCGCTAACCACCTTTTCTGACCTTTTCTTCCATGTGATTCCAGTCAACAACGGTTTTCACAAATAAAAAATGGCTGATTGTACTGTTTTGTGTTTTCTCTTATTATAGTTTTTAGAGTTACTGCACATCTGGCTGTCCTGATTTAAACTATTTGAGGAATTATCAAAAGTTATTGGTTTGATGGTTCTACTAGGACTTTATTTGGACCAAATTATTAAAATTAATAAAAAGGCAGTGAAGAAACCAGCCTCTCAACCACTTAAGTCTTTGTATGGCAGCACTCGTCGTAGGCATTTTCTTCTAGTCTTTAAAACCCCAACGGTTGACTGGGGTATAGAACTATTCTTATCTCTATACGTCCTTTCCGGCTGTAAAACCTATGCTAAAGATGGGTGTGCTGCAATTATAAATACGCAAACACTCTGGTGCCCCGTGACGAGAGAGTAGAGCATCGCTCCCTGCTCGTTAAAGAACCCTTGCAACAACTCTTTCAGGGGTCCGTAGGTTGCCAGCTGTGTCATGTCGAAATTCCCATTCTTTATCCCTTTCTACCAACTTTGCATAACCTACCTACTGTGGAATCATTATTATTCGTTGGGTACCAATTTTCATGGAATTTGTGGTTATAGGTGAACCACG